CCTCTTTCCACGTTAACGGAATTAAAGTAAACGCGCATTAACTAGAAAACCCAAAAAAATGAAAGTATTATTACATTATAAAATAACGAAATGTGTTCAAGGGGCTTTAGTTTGCGTTAAGTTTGATTTTGCATAGTCTGCACTTATCTATTCACACACAATTTAAATAGTTTGTGACTTCTTTCCCTGGCTTAAAAGAGGCAAATAGTCATAAAGTGTGCACCTAGGGTACCTAAACATGCAGCGTTACTCTTTCATAGTGTTTCAATCCCAGCATGCAACACATATATACACTTTTGTTGTTTGATTGTTTCTTTATATTTATTATTATTAATAGTATTATTCTCTTTATCGGACAGATTTCTAGCTTAGATAAATAAAGTATACTCAGCATTTATGCGTACAAATACTATTAAGTAGTATAATATCGGTGGTGATCACCATTTACCCGACAACACATTTAAACTAAACATGTCATCTTAATGACACTGCTGTCAACACCACATTCTCCAAGGGACACGAAACACTGAGACATCCAATGTCAATACATGTATACATTCAGCACCCAACTTGTAGTTTTTCATCGTTTAGCAATTGTGTATAACGGAATCATTGGTGAGCTCAAATTAAATAAAAGGAAAAATTCCATTAAAAATAACAGGTGAAAAGGGTGTCACTTTATGTTTTGTTTTAATTCTATGTAAATCTAAATAAGTAAAGCTAAGACATTTTATGACAGTCACAACACTTTCGTATATAAACATATTTAAGTATCCAGTACGTTCCGTAATCCATCGTTGACAGTTTTATTTATTTGTACAATGAAATTGAAATAAATGACATTTATAATAAGTAGGGTTTTGGTTTAAGAAGCTTGTCGATTGAAGGGTATGTATTAAACCCACTACTCAAGAACAGTTATTGTATGCCAATCTAACTTCTATACGAAAGTATGAATTGAAACTTAAATAATAAATACCTGTTGAGGATTTGATATCAATTAAACCCTGTACTCAGGACAAAATTTCTGTTTTTAATATCGACTGTGCAAACGGTTTTACTTTAAGATATTGAAAAATTCGACCAACCTTCTTTATACTATCTATATGTGTTTGTTATCTTCTTATTATATATTATATATGTGTTTACTGTACTCTTTGTATATGTGCACAGACAATTTTTAATTATATATTTCTCTCTACACCGACATACATATCTTGAATGTTAACGTTAAATACATTCAGTTCAGACCGACAGTTTCGTCTTTTGAGATAGTTGTTTTATTATGTTTTCAAATGTATAAACGCATTTAAGACAGAATAAAAACGAATTCATATGGTAGAAAATCTTGTTCAAGGCTTAGGGTACAGGTACATACAGTTTCGCCGTCCAAATCAAAACCGAAACATATCAGCCAAAAATACGAAAATGTATAACACTTTCTCCTGTATATTTTCACAAAAAATTAATAAATGAATTCGAAAGGTTATAAACCATCTGATATTTGAATGCTCAAATTCTGAATGATGCACTTAAATCAAATTTGCAGCGTTAAAACAAATGTATATACACAAAAATGTTTACAGCTTTACACATTGCTCGTGAAGAATATTTTGATAAAATTATGCATATTGTACATATCTAAAACAATAACAGAATTGTATTAAAGACACGACATACATGTAGCTAAGCATGCATTGCTGTACATTTATGGACTCTTATAATTAGGGTCTTCGCGTTACTGTGTACTGGTATTTTGGCATTGGAAACGGTTATGGCTTAACAGTCTGTGTATAACGTCTTTACACTGAATCTGTTGGGTGTGTACTGGTTGATATTGCCAGTTGAAAACAAAACTTTACAACAAAAGAGATGATTTCAGCTTCCCAATTGTGAACTTTCCATTTCTCTGTAGCAACATTCCAGCAGCGCCTGCATACGGAGTATATATCTCCCAATTGATACGATATTCCCGGGCATGTGTTTCCTATCATGATTTCCTTGATAGAGGATTGCTGCTCACAAGGAAGCTATTAAACCAAGAGTTCCAAATGGTGAAGTTGAAGTCATCCCTTCGTAAATTTTACGGACGCCATCACGAGTTGGTTGACCGTTATGGAATAACCGTTTCACAGATGATATCGGATATGTTCCTTATGTCGTAACTACAATACCCTCCCTTTTCACGAATGTGACTTACCGAATAAGACTATTTACCGGATTTGTAATAACATAAGTAACACGACGGGTGCCACATGTGGAGCAGGATCTTCTTACCCTTCCGGAGCACCTGAGATCACCCCCAGTCTTTGGTGGGGTTCGTGTTGCTTAGTCTTTGGTTTTCTATGTTGTGTCATCTGTACTATTATTTGTCTGTTTGTCTTTTTATTTTTGGCCATGGCGTTGTCAGTTTGTTTTCGATCTATGAGTTTGACTGTCCCTCTGGTATCTTTCGTCCCTCTTTTAGTCTGGAATAACATGGTCTAGATAATAGTTGTAATTGTCTAAAAACTAGCTTTCAGTAACTGCGAGTACTCTTTGATTGGTTCTTTGTGTCTTTTGTCTTTACACTAGTTGTTGCTTGTGCTTCTTGCCAATCTGACGAGTCAGTTCATTTTCAACTCGTTTTTCAGTTGTTTCTTATGGTTCGACTCTTGCACCACCATCCCAGCTGCAGGTTAGAGGATAGGGGGAAATTGAGAGCTCACAAACATAATATTGAGCTGCGTCGGATAGAAATGGACCTTATACAAAGGAATATCTGTTAACCTGTTTCGGGTTGAACAAATCTCTACGTTAAGTCTGTAACTGTTTAAAAATTGGGTTGTTATAAGAACCCTACAAAACAGACCAAAATTCATCTTTTATTTCGTATTTGAATGTTTCAAAATCAATCAAAGTTTTATACAATTCATGTATAAATGTAATTACATAAGGTCGATTTCTATCAGACGCAGCTCATATATAACCCTGCACATTCTTTATCTGCCTATCTAAAATCAAGGTCCTGTAATTCAGGGGTTGATGTTGGTTGTTGTCTGTCATATTTGTTTATCTTATATTGTGTCATAAAGCTGATCATTGATTTACTAGTTTGAATAGTTTCACATTTTGTCAATCGAGGCCTTTTATAGCCGACTACACGGTACGGGTTTTGCTCATTATTAAAGGTCGTACAGGGACTTTAGTTGTTTACATGCACGTGATTTGGAATGGTGGATAGTTGTTTCATTGTCAATCATACCACATCTCTATATTTTTGAAGTTAGGCTTGTTTCTTGCAGTAAATTTTTTTTCAAGTTTGAATTTCTACCCAGTTATGTTTTAGAAAAATGGCAAATCAATTTCTATTCTCTGTCATAATTTGCACATTTTAGCCCACACATATATCAACATTTAAATGCTTAAATATAACATGATGTTACATGTTTTGAATATTAGCAAAGATTGAACATTTTAGTTGTCTTATGGTCATTTTTGTCGATTTGTTCCTGTCTCATTGACGTATACACATTATCTGACATCTCCTTTATTCATACTTCGTCATTTAGTTGTGTGTACTTTATACTGATGATTTTTTTATATTGTTTCATTTAACTTTTTACACAAAATTTCTTTGAGGGCCTAATAATGTATTGTCACACACAGTGTTGATTGTTAAAAGACGCATTTTCTTTAGAATTTTTAAGTTTTTACTAGTGGTGTTTATTTATTATCCACATATTTAGCATTTTTGTACACTTAGCATGCTACTATATACTTTGGAATTGACGGTCTGTTCGATACACATATAAACGTCCGTTAATTGCTGGAAGTAAATTTATACAATTGTTCTTCGCTATCATATGGACAACTGTATATGAATATATATTCAAGTGTTTGTCTTATTGTATTATAAGAGCAGATATTTTTTTACAGAAATAAGGCTCATTTTCTTTTCTTGTCCTACAGCAAAACTCGTGTCCGGGACTCAACCGTTTTGGTTATTCGAGGTTTTCATAAATAAAGTTACATCCATAAAGAATAGAAAAGTCATAGTGGATGCGCATGGGGTAGGGGTGTGTGTACTGTTTTAACTTGTTTAAAAACACGAGAAACAAGAAAATACCCTTTTGCAGGTGTATATTGTAGGATGAGATTTCCGACCTTTCAGAAACAGCCGGTCATGTCAATTAGAAGACAAAATTTTCTCCTTTTCCACCTTCATTTAGTCTCATTTAGACATTGATATGACATGTTGGCCTTTTCTATTTTTAGATAGCCTTAAAGTATGGGATAACATGGCATGAAGGTCGATTTCTATCCGACGCAGCTAACCTTAATAACATAAACGGTACCAATATAATCAATCTTTTTTTGAATTTACTTTTTTAACTATATTCCAATGGAAAAAGCATGCTCCAAGTATTCATTATGTTTGTTTGTATTTATTGTTTGGGAGACAAATTAAAAATTAGAAATGATGCTTGATTCTGGACCCTATTGTTTATAATGTATCATCTAATATAGCACGATTTTTTATTGAATAAACTATTGTTTAAACCAAACGGTACCAATTTTATTGCACCAAATGCGCATTTCGACAATTAATGTTTCTTCAGTGATGCTCGAGCAAATGTTTATAAATCTAAAACTTATGCAAGCGTTGAAGAGCTGATCAAACCAACACGGACATAATGTATAGCCACATTCGGACAAGGAGTCAGAGCTGTGCATAAGTGAGATATATTCCTTAATTTAAAATGATTTCCAAAATTTTATAACAGTCAATTTCAATCAAAGCCATTACAGTATTTTCATGCCATTACAAAAGTACTGGCTTCTGGGCTGGTGATACCCTCGGGGACTAACAGTCCATCAGCAAAGGTATCAGCCCAGTGATAGAAATAACATAAACGGTACCAGTTTTACTACACATTTCGACAATTTATGTCTCTTCAGTGATGCTCGAGGCCAAAATATTTGAAAATCAAAATCCTATAATATGAAAAATACAAGAATTTAAATATAATATATATATATTCAACAAATGGATAAATATTATAAAATAAATGCTTTTCACGAAAATGCAGTAAATTATAACTTTTCTTTACTACAGCATCGACATCGACAAAACAGATCTCTGAATCCCTTTCCAATTCTTTTGTTGATAATTCCATATATCACAGGATTCATACAGCTGTTTGAATATCCTATCAGAAGTGTAGCTAAATGGAAATCGTTCGAGACTGCATTCGGAGCATAAATTCCGATAAGCATGCTTATACAAAATGGAAACCAAGAAATGAAAAAGCACACTACACAAATTGCTAACGCAAGTGCAAGTCGAATATCTTCTGCTTTCACTTTATTACTGGGCAGTTTACTAAGCCTCTTTTTCACATCGTTGGTTTCCGTATTTGAATCGGACATCTCCACTTGAACATCGACCATATCAACGTTTTTACGTTCTTTTTTATTTTCTGTTTCTCGTTTCTCTTTTTTGTCTTTTTCTGTCTTAGTTTGGACTTCTGTGTCACTAGAAGATTCCTGAATTGAAATATTTTTGCTTATTGCCATACTTGACCTTGATGAACGGGCTGTTCGTTTCTTACTTGCTTGCACTGCCGTAAAAATTAGTACGTTACATATAGCCATGACTGTAAGAGGTATACCAAAACACACGCCTATCATAAAAAATGCGTATGATGGTGATTTAGGCCATAAACAAAAACAATAAAATTGTTCCTCAATGTAACCATATTCTGCCCAACCGAACAATGGAGGCGTTGAAATAATTATGGATATACTGGTACAGGCTGAAAATAAAATAATGAAATATTGAAATATTGAAAGCAAGATTACAGGACATACGTCATCATTAAAAGTTAACACGTGCATTTGTATGAAAATAACACTGTATAAAGCTCATGAATCCGAAGCTATTCCTTCTTACAAATGTACGAACGCTCAAACCAGGGATGTATAAATACGTAAAAACGTTAGAAGCTTTATGACCAATAAGGAACCCAAAAAGACAAACTTGAAATACATGTATATCTTATTCCTATATTTTTTGAGTGATTGACATGTTATATTTTTATTCAAATGAGTAAGGCATGTAAAATAAATGTAACTATAAATAAAAGGATATTTTGGTTATACATCAATTGATTAGACAGCAAACAACCAACACAAAAACAAAACACATCTAGAGGTCAACATACAAAACTACCAATGACTTTATCGGATTATTAGGGAAAAGTGTGTAACAAAATTAATTACTCAACACAATATGTATCAATTATCGAGTTTACTTATATTGATATCGTACAATATCAGCAGCGAGGTACTTGTGAACCTTTTGATGAGTGAGATCGGCAAACGAACTAAAAAGCTTCACATGGTGTCGAGCGGCTGATATTTAACGATATATTTACGCAGAAAACCCGATTGTCTGCTTATATCATACTATTTCCGGTCTTCCCCTAAAAAGTCTCATGCTTGGTTGTCCTACCGAATTCAGCTGCTTGATGAGTATCGATTATCAGGATATCTACAAATTGATATCACAAAGTATCAGCCGCGAGTCACAATATGAAGTTGTTTGTCGAGTGAGCGTAGTGAAGGAGTTCAAAAAGGCTTCATATTGAGTCGGAGGGAGAAGCTGATGTTTTACAATATCAATATGCATACAACCAGATAATCGATTTATCGGATTGTATTTGTGTATTTGCATGATAGAAACAAGTGTTTTTCTTTGTTTCACCGGCAAACCGGAAGATGACGCGATAAGATCGGGTCAAACTTATCAACGTCGGTTTATTCATTCATTGTGACGTGGGTGATATGTCCGGGTCAAAGTTAGAAAGGCCAGGTCAACTTATTTGACGTCACAAAGCCCTGATATGCAATTTTATGAGTATGGTGAAATAGGTACAGGGAAGTACGATACTCTTAACTAAACATTACAATACCTACTCCTAAAAGGTGCATTTGTTCTGGGTTTGGCTCCCACATATTGTGTTAAAATACATTTCACTCTTAAATGGACTGTAGTAGACCGGTTTCCCGTTCGTAGTATTTCAGTCTAAGTAAAAAGTAAAATAACGAAAATACCGAACTCCAATAAAAATTCAATACGGAAAGTCCATTAACAAATGGAAAAAATCAAAAGCTCAAACACATCAAACGAATGGATAAAACAAAGACGCAACTTCGATAACGGCAGGTAATTAGGAAAGGACAACTTTCACTAAGTCTTGTTATACGTTTCAACTTTATATCCTTTTAAAATCCAACTTACAGTTTGAAGTAAAATTGTCTAAAATTTTACTGTAGTCTTTATATTGACTCGTATAATGGTTATTGAATGTAGACATCTCGTCATTTATTCGCGTGGACATTATAGAAACAACAAAAACAAAAACAAACCGAATAACATCCATCAGGGGGGATTAAATTTCCAATCCTTCTTCCACAATTATTGTTAGTGGGATGGAGATAACGATTTCCACAAGATAAACCTTAATTTTAAGCTTTAAAGTACTTGTTCAACTTGGTGTTAAAATTAACCATGAAAAGGATTAAAGCACTTAGTTATTTGCTATAATCATACCTAAAGTAACCGAAGGCCAATTGTCCAACGTGACCTGCTATATACGAGATTAAGGGATAATTATGATTATGTGAGTCAGGAAATTTTGTGCTTATTATATTTTGTATTTATCTATGTTACTCAAATGTAGTGCGACATATTTTTAAAGGTATTAAACTAAATACATATTTCAAACTTGAAAAGTATATAACAATCTCACTTTGATATTCAAGAAAAGAGCCGCGAAACGATGGCGAATGCCTTGTACATTTTACGTTTAGAAAGATGGACTATTGGTGTAATAAAAAGCATGAGTGACTTTTGATAAAAGATTATGTATGTACGTCTATGTAATATTGGCCGCTAGGCTTGAAAATCCAAGTAATCAGTGGATCAATTGCACATCAAAATCAATTGATTGATACAAAAAAAAATGTCCTGGGGCGGGATGTTACAGGAATATTATATATCAATTAAAATCAAGAAACATCTTATAGAAATACAGCTAAAACTCTATTTGAGATTGTATTTATTGTTTTTCAGGCACACATTCAATCTTGTCAATCGATGTAAACTTTTACTACACCATGTAAAATTCGTAATAGTGATTCCAACTTCCCTCCAACAGCAATGGCCAGCGTTAAATATCATTTTGATTGTGGGGATACATGTAAAATTGTCTTGTTTTTTTTTCAAAAATCGTTATATTCATTATTTAGACTCTTTATTTTCTAATGATTTTGAACCTGACACTAAAAATAATACGAGTGAAAGTGGCCATAACCTCTGTATGTTTTGGACTTGAAGATTGGGTGGTGGAGGAAGGGGTAAAAGTACTCTCAGTTATGGTAGCTATACTGACTGACTTTAAAAACGCAACACTCATTTTGTTGATTATTTTTCCCACATCATGTTTGATTCTCATACAACTACTATTAATGCTTACCATACTGCTTTCTCTAAAGAAAAAATCAACATCTGACTAACCTGTGGTTATTGAACATACCGGATTTTTGAAGTCGCACGAATTTCGTAAAGCGAAATTTGGAACCCATAAAAGATTTTTTCAGTTCGTTTTGCTTCGTGAAACAGTTCTTTTAATCCTTGGCCACACTTAAATCAGTTAAAAAATGTTGCATCTCCATATTGCCAAGACTGAGGAATAAAAAACTGAATCAGCCCATAAGAATACTGCAAACAAGAAAACGTGAACGTGCTGCAACCATATACAGTTTGACTTCAGAAACCCGTCTTACTGTCCTTCCGACATCGATACAGGTAGACAGGAATTGTTGCTTACCATCAATGACCAGATCATCATGTAGTGACAATGCAACGTCAATAGAATTTGATTACGCAACGTCATTTGCGAGACATGTTTACGGCCGCAATGTCAACTGCTTATCAAATTGTCGAATGCCATTGCACACAGATTCATGTCATAAACGTTTTCCATAACCTGAACTGCCAAAGAATCCACTGAAGAAAAACATTTAAAGCCCTGAAGTTTCAGCCGCATAATTGCCAAAACCCATTGTAATGGGTGGAACAAACGCATATTCAGAAGGTGTAAAACAGAACCCAAAACATGTGGAACAGAATTGGTTGATCTTTCTGACCATCATTTTGGCGTTTGTTACAGGCAGTCATTGCTTTTGACAGTGCCACATTCATTCAAAAATTTAAAAAGAATAATCTAGTGTTGCGTTTCTAAAGACGGTCAGTATATAACTTGACTGTTCTAATTATTTAAATCTATTAGTATTTTTTTTTATAATAAAACGAGTGTAACAAATAAAAATTCAATGATTGTAATTTAGGTACTCGCAAGTGTCGTAAGGTTAAACCAGCCATAATTTATTGACTGGCAAACAATTTACACATATCTAAAATTATATCTATGGTTTGCTTTTGCTGTATCACAGGCCTCTACAATAACTTTAACCAGTAGGACAAGTACATACCAAAATTTACTTGTCCGAATGAAATTGTAACTTGTCCAAAAAAAAATCTTAATAATAACCTTTTTTGCATTTTAAGTTGATTCAAGGAACAAAATGAATTAAAACAATAGAACAGAATTTGATTTATATCGTTTGAAATACCATTCAAAAATATGAGCCGAATACAACTGAATCTAGTCATGTCACAGGACTTAGGTTCTAGTTCATCATTGCCAAAGTCTCATCAGATTCTGCACATGAGGCACCGTCTGATAGGCCTGTCAATGTACACTCATTGGATTTGTATCCTGGTTTTTTAAGTTGAAAAAAGTTTATTCAAATGCAATCAATAAAAAAAAGAAGATGAGGTATGATTGCCAATGAGACAACTCTCTGCAAGAGACCAAATGACACAGAAATTAACAACTATAGGTCACCGTATTGCAAGTATTGTTTTTTCTCTACATATGATCAAATATGATTTTGTGAATTTAATGTTAAATAATTTTTCATTTTTATTTAAAAAATGTTTTTGTTAAAAAAATTACCGGTATGGTATTTATTATAAAGCAACAGAATAAGGTAGGAAAAACAGGTACTGATTTGTCTTGGTCCCGAAATGTCTGCTGTGAAATGTCTCCTGCATTGCCAAACTGTTTATTAATCATGTCTATTAAATATGTCTCCTACGGTGCCAAACTGTCTATTAAACTTGGAGCAAATGCTTCTGAGCTGGTGACGAACTGTCTTGTAAAGTTACCTTATCTACAAAGCGCATCGCTGATTCGGATCAGTAAGACTGGTTTCTGAGAATAGTATGCATTTTACCTGTTAAAAAGTACCTGACAAAGAACCAGTTTGAAATTATCCATGTCTTGTTTTCATCTTCTTTTCTTGTTTTTTGTTTATAATTACTTTGTTCATAAAAGTTGGATTAAATTTATTTTCTGCAGAATAATTTTATTTGTCTCGTAGGACAAGCTTTATATATCTTTTACTTGTCCGACCCTTTTTCCCTGTGGTACCGGACAATCGGACAAGCGTTATTGTCGAGCCCTGTATCATCTAACAAAATGACGATTTAGTAAATATTTTCTCGTTTATTGTTTTTTTATGATCCGTGAGAATGTAAATATTCCATAAAAAATTAATTGTGTCACAATATTTTTCTTGAAATTTAATCCTTTTACAGATATCCTATCTAGTCTACATGACTTGCACGCTATAAACTTGTATTGTTCTTTAAAAATGATTTTGATCTGAATTTAGGGAGGATTGCATATTCTTATGTAAATGTTTGTTCTAGCGATCATTCATCTGAGACTACATACAAAAAGCTATACCTGTGTATAATATAGGCCGTTTTTTGTTGTATGTTGTCTCAATAAGATCTATGCAACATCTTCTTTATTCATATCGCACGCATCGCTATAAGAATGAATTGGGTAAAGACAGATGGTCAAATGAAATGTTTACATCCGGCAGTAAAACCCATGCTAAGTAGGGCGTCTATTTGGCCATGTTGGCTATGCGGGATGTATGAATACGCAGTAACGCCCTATCGGAATGGTGACCTGAACTATCGTAACCTTATATTAGGAAGGTACCACGTTTTTTGTGCTTTAAGTACCTTTGCGAGAATCCTCTCAGAGGTATGCATGTGACCTGTAGCAAGGGAAAACCCGCCTTAATCAACGTAGCCTCTTTTCTGGAGGTTAGACCTTTTATCCCGGTGGATTCGCTTTATAGAACATATCTATCCTACATATCAATGGGTGTGTTAAATGTCAAAAGAAATATTTGGTTCATAGTTTAGTGTTTTGTCTTAGAAATCAAACAATCACTCAAATATCTGTTCGTAGTCTTCATGAAACGGACAAAAGTTCCGTCGCATATACAGTATAAAGTATTAAATTATATGCCAATGAGACAACTCTCCATCCAAGTCAAAAGTAAACCATTACGTTACAAACATTTGTCATGACTTAATACGTCTTAGCTTTCCAATTGCCAGTTATTTCACAGCCCCACCCCATTTTTTAAAACTGTAACTCGTAGGTTGATTTTCTGTTAAACACGTATCCTATGTTACATGTAGCCGTGGTTAACCTGTTATACTTTCTGCAGGACGTGTATTGTCTGTTTACATTACACTTGTTTCATTTTTTTGTAATTTCACCTCAAATCTTAAAACACAGACACATTAAAGTAAGTGGTTTGCTCTGTATTGATTATGGTTGTAATCAAATTAATGCTTTTTTAAAAAAAAATATGCTATATTCTTATTTTTTCCAAATTTGATCCGTCGAACAAAAAATAAATACCTTCGGGTTAGGGTGAAATACAATGCATAGATTAGTACTGTAGAAAATAGATAGGAATATATTCAGAGACTGATATTTATATTTGATTCATAAAAGCTTAATTTAAAATACAAATTTAGACCGTGGTATGAAGTATTCATGTACATGTACCAATTCCTAATAAAATCTCCAATTATCTTCTTTTGTTCAATATTTTATCTCAACAGAGTTATTGTACAACTTGATTTCGTCAAAAATACGCATGGAATATTTTCTTCTAGACGTTAAGAAATATCAATCAACAAAACAACTATTCTCATTGTTGAAAGCCTTATGTTTGCCTATAATTGCTTACACCCACTTCATTTGAACTTTGGTGGATAGTTGTCTCATTGGCAATCATACCACATCTCCTTGTTTTTTATATTAAAAAGTCCTGCTTTTCCCCCCTAAATACAATATGTATATTGAACCACATATCATACATTGCTCTCCCATTGAATTAAAACCTGTACCAAAAATAAAACACTTGAAGAATGTGTTTTTATGTTTGATGGGATTGATTGTACAAATTAATTAGTTTAAAATAATTGGAATAGTAGTCCATTTTATTTTAATTTTATTAAATCAGTTTTAAATATTTTTGTATCACGCTCAATTTATGATAAATATATATCCGAAATTTAAAAATTAGAATTAAGTGAATCGCACCAGAAAAAAACCATTGAATAATTACAGCAATTAGTTTCTGAAATACCATTGATTACTTATAATTGCAGCAAAATCTGAATAAGCATTGTAAGAAAGAACACTTACACATTACTTTTAAAAATGAGGAACAAGAAGTTTTATAAATCGAAAATGATTTTAATTGTCCAGTGCTTGTTACATTGTTGTACTTTGGTTATTTTTAGAATCACAATTAAAATATATACACTGAAAAAAACTATCAAGGTTAAGAGTTTTAAACATGTCTGTAGGTCCTCAACCATTGACTCTTTTGACTTAATTGTTCTTCAAATTTCATTTTCTAGTGATTCATTTATAAAAAAGATTATTTATTTCTCTATACAACTTGATAGTTTACTTTAACTAAACCCCATTTCATTCAGAATGCGGGAGTAATTGTTTTACTCCGCCTCCCTCTCGCGTTTCTCATACTCTGTCACTCCCAGTTTTGTTATTCCATTGGAACCGTTTCTGTTGCGTTGAATATCCTTTGGAGTTGATTGAAATGAATAAAAAGCACTTTTTACGATTTAACTTAGTGCTTGTAATGTATCCCCAGACAGTCGAGTTGTTGCATCTTTATTTATTTTATAGACAGGTGTAGCTTTGTCACAATTCTTTTAAACATTATCTTTGCAAATAAGACTATATACAATTTACTCTCCACATATTTCCGTTAATCATGTCCCTCCCAGGATTAGACTACGGAGATATGTGTCAACTATTAGAATTATAAAAAAAAGACAAACTCCTGGCAAGTTTTGACATCATCACAACATACTCAAAGCATCAAGTGTCTTACTTTTAGAAAACAAATAGTTCTTCTTGTACAAGTTTATGGATTCCCATCGGGATAGGAGTTTACTTTATAAAACCTACGATGAAAATTCACATTCAACGTTAATTTAATTTTCTGATTATACCCTTATGTATGTTTGAATTATATTTTGTAAATACCCCACTTCATATGCCGGTTTTATTGGCTCAAGGATTTTGGACGCTAGACACCAATGTCAATATAGGTATGGGTTTCAAAAGATTGTTGATTTATTAGGTATATATTTATTTTTACGGGTGACAACATATGATAGATAAATTTGACAAAGTGGAATGATAATAAGACATTTAAACGCTTCTGACAAAAATGATCTTTGAAGAGTCAACATTGTTAGATAATGATGTCCTTGTAATTCTCAACGACATGTGTTTATTGTCAAGGGATCAATGAAAATGTCTTTTGAATTTAATATTGAACACCCTCAGCGAAATTTCCGTTGAAAAGTAGTATTTAAAAAAAGTTCAAACTAACGTATTGATTAAATCCTATTCATATTGGAACTATATGTACTAAGTGTGTTTGTTAGTCCGTCCAGGCAAAACCACAGCCTTGTCGATAAAATACAGCCATCAAAAATACATCATGAACAAAAATTTATCAAATTCATGTTGTCAAGACCAGAGGTCGAAGTCCAAGATGTTGTCATATGTCCATGGAAAAATCTTACTTAATCGCTTTATCCAGCTTGTCAATCTTAAGCATTACTAGTATTACTTCTGTTGATGTCAAAATATGCAATTGTTCGGAGCATAACATTTTTTTGGCTTTATTTGCACTTCACTGAATGGACAATACTCATCAATGTCGATGTCCATTACTCTTATAACAGAAGATAATCAACTTTTCAAATTAATTTTCAATGTCACATATTAAACTAAGGTCAAAGGTCCTGGTCAACACGATGCAGACTGAATGGCTTTATCAATACTATCCAAACTGGGTCACTCTGCATATAACTACTATAAAGGTTGAACGAGCTGTAATATTGTGATGATGTGAGAGGGTAAATGGCAATTCTAGATACTACTTAACATTTATTACATAATCCTTAAAATGATTTGTGATCTGTTAATATTATTCCAAGCTGTCTTTTGTGAAGACTATTATACATGTTTATGCCTCTAGGTGTCTTTTAGTTGTTTTTGTCGTTCGATTACATGCATACCGCATTCATCCTTTTATTGATGGAATTGAAAGTGGTGATGCGGTTTGCGTTTATTCTTAATCATATGTAATGCTATGGATTTAAAACATGTTATTTTTAAAAGTATTTCATTGCGTTCGTTCCTGCAATATGGATTCATATAAATTCGGGGTAAACGTACTTACCAATACCTACACCACAGTAAACAGTTTGGGAACAGTCACCCAAATGGGATATTTACATGTACTATGCAAAAATAAGATTGATCGATCTTCCGAATTTAAAGGCTTTAATAGGGATGAATCTAGCAACGTTTTCAGTTTCTGGAAAAAATTTACTAACCAAAATTTGCAACTACATGTATATGCCCTTTTGAATACTCTCGATTAAATCTAAAATTAAGATTTTTGGGACAGTAAATTTATTTCAAATCTGGGCTATTAACATGATTATATCTCATTTGGGTGACTTAATCCAAACTGATAAATAAGGAAGGACATAAAATCAAAATGTTATAAATCAAAACAATCCTATTCAACATGGTTGTATTATGGTAATGCAAACATTTTATTATGCTTCTTTGTAACACTTTATCTCAACGCCTCTTTTATATTTACAAATAAAACTTGTATATTGGTCTATTTAATTATTACGTTATAGATGAACATATTATATAACTTTGACAACCCGGACTTAATATTTGTAAGTCTAATTTAAGCTATTGCTATTAAAGAATGAACACGGAACATGCATAACATATGCAATCTTAAATAAGGAAGAATTGTTTACTATTCTAAATCTGTCATGTGCTTTATGCAATATAAAATTTGTGATAGAATAGAAATGCTCACTGTTTCTTCTTGTCTTTTGAATTTGATAAAATAATTAAAAATAAACAGTCGAAGACAACCTTCTTTTCCCTTTTCCTTAAAGGTGTTTTTGATAAGGTTAATGTGGCATTTTCGTGTCTTGCGTTCGATCGCAAGGGCCAGAATGTGTAGTGTTTCGTGCAAACGGTAGAAAAACACCATCCAGGTCTTTTCTTGCTTTTGATATCACATTTTTGATTTTTCACATTCTTCCCTGTACATATACGTATATATGTATCCCTCCCGTATGAACCCCATAAGTATTACAATCATACTATCAGTATGATAGATAGATAGATATATATATATGTACCCCTCCCCTACGACCCCATAATCATTACAATTATACTAACCTATTATCATCATGATAGATCTTTTGGTTGTATATATTGTTGGAAACCTGAAAGGTCTACAGACTATTACATATCTGTTTATACTAATGTTACACAACGAAAGAACACTTTGAACTAAAGTGAACATATTAAAAAATCCAAAAACTTGGCATGCCTGTGACGACAGTGGCCATCTTCCTAAAGCAAGCGCTACTACAGTCGTTGGCATATTCAGAACGGATACTAACCAATCAGCACTATTTAGACACAGAATGAAAGCATTGGAGATCGTCCGAAGTTTACGTGTCCGATAAACTATAATCCACATACAAGTGTTACCAATTATTGCAGTAATGCACACGAAAATTAGAAATATTTCAGCAATTACGGTCCCAGCTACATTTCTCTCGCTGTTTGTCACCGTGGTATTCATCTTCTATAAGTTGATTAATAAAATATCAGTGGACGAAAGATATTAAAACCACATCTGTATCTTGGGATGAATTTCAATCTACTTATTTACATAACTAAAGATATTACATCCATTAGTAATAAAATTGTAATTTTCACGTCGTTCATATCTGAAAAAAATTTGCAACGCTCTGTTAAACTCGAATGTTAAACATTGTTGATTTTTAAATAGTATTGTTACCTAGGAATATATATTTTAAAGTATACGTGAATACATTACACAAAACTGAACGAAAAAAGTGTATCCGTCTGAAGGAAACTTATCCATTTTAAAGATCCATTGGACAGAAAATATCGACTTATTCACAACTAATACACAAGTATTATGACACTGTCGTGTTGAGTGTGTAAACTTTTTAAACGGAACCACGTATGACAAAAGAAGGATAGTTAATTAAAGGGTATATAAGCTACTTTAAATCGAAATCATTTTAATCAGTTCGATTTAAATTTCATGTTACAATCAGATCCCTCTTATCGTGAGAACAATCTTGATACTAGTTAATACCGTCCAGGGTGGTTCTCGGGGCTGATAATAAAGCTTACTCGAGCAATGAAACATAAACAGTGTCTTTTGAAGCGACTCGTTACTATTCCAGTCCACTACATTCTAAAGTGTTCACAATGAAAAACAAATAATGTTTTAGGCATTTCTGGGTTTACATCGACCTAAATTTAATTAGGGTATATAAAAATAATTTATAACATCATTTTACATGCCACGCATTTAGCAATTAAAATTCGGCTGAAGAAAATTGATAAATATCTGTTAAATGGACATACTAAATAAATAGTACTGGTATATTATGTATAAACAATAAAAATGCTATCACATTCCCTGGAGTGAAAATACCTTAATGTTAAATCAATGTACGGATTACATAATTCTTTCAACTATAATTGTTCTATTTCCTCCTACACTTTTAAAAACAATTAAATATTTCTCTTTATGCTTATATAACTCTTAACAATAAAGAGCAGAGGTTACAATGTAGATAATAGAATAAGACAAATCATGAATGTAATTCATGATTGCAAATATCCGACTACCGAAATTCTTATATGTCTTTTTTGTTTCACTTTTTGAATAAAGCCACGTTCTAATTCCAATAAAACATGGGGTAATTGAGATTACAATTGAATGTTCTACCTTTTGTCTTTTGAACGACACTGGAGTAGAAAATGGACACTTCAGTAGAGGTTGCTCACTATGAAATTCAATACAATTACAGTGCCAATTTTAACTCAACCAGATAGGCATTTCGTGGACAATAAATGTATCTTCAGTGATGTTAAAGGCCAATTATTTAAAAAATCAATACAAGAGGACAAAAAGTATAGCCAAAGCCATTTTTTTTTAAAATAAGTATGTATGTATTTGTTCACTAAAACACTTATTCTTTTAGAAAGTTTGTTTCTTTATCAAAATAACTTCCGTTCGATCATGTCTACAGGTCCATTTTTAACGAATCACACTGTCAGTTATAATTTCCCCATAAGAATCAATATTATGGGAGATAATTCACTGCGAATCCTGCTCAAGTGGTGTAGAATTAGTACCAACAAAAATTGGAAGGAAAGTCTTGGTCCTGTCATTTCTCACACAATAAAACATTGCATTGATTTCAGACTTTTTTTCATTTCTAAGATCATTATAGATGCATGTAATCACTGAGCATTTATAGGGTCATCTGCTTTGTATTGTAATCGCAATAGGGACGGGAGACAAGAATCTGCTTTACCCACATCGAGTATTTTTTAACCCCGCTGCATTCAGTTTACGCCTGTCCTAAGTCAGGAACCCCTGGCCTCTGGTTAGTCTTGTATGCTTTTTAATTTTGGTTCATTTGTATGTTTCGGAGTATAATTGGACGTCCATTTTCACTGAACTAGTATACATTATTGTTTAGGGGTCAGCTGAAGCCCGCCTCCGGATGCAGGATTTTCTCGCCGTGTGGAAGACCCATTTGTAGACTCAGGCTTTTTTTCTGCTCTTTGGTCTGTTTGTTATCTCTTTGATACATTTCCCGTTTCCATTCTCAATTTTATTTGACTGTCAATCTTGAACACAGATCCTAGTTTAGCTTCCGTAATGATAGCAGGTAATAGGGTGTTGATAATCTTGGATGTGTTATTCAAGATATAGAATATATACGGTTGTTTTATTACTACACCTGCCAAAGTATTAGGTTATAATTCAAATAAGACTACACTTAACCCGAAGTGCTTGTGTTTATCTAATACCAGTTATTGTCTTTAATCCTCTTATGTTATATTTCTTAAAATCTTTGACTTTTAAACTTTCGATCAAGTTGAATGCTAAATCTTGAAGCGCTAGCATTGTTGGTATTTACAACTTGTATGTACATATATTCTACCTTCTATAGCTTGCAGAGTATACAATTGGTTGTGCGATGTCACGTGCTGGCCATGTATACCATAATTATACAAGGTGTGTACACGCGAGTTATCTTATAAGAATAATCGTTATTGCATTGCACAATTTAAGACGGCGTCTGTTAAATAAAAAGAAGTTGTAAAAATACTCATGATTTTTTTTCTGAGCATCAGTTAGTCGGTAGGTCATAAATATTACACAGTTCATAGGTGACCTAATATGGGGTATCCACTGTAAGAAATTTTGTTGGGGGATTCGGGCTTCGCTCTCGTCCTGTATAAAAATTACGGACAGTTAGTTAACTGACGGTCTGTATGATATATATATATATAGATATAAGAAGATGTGGTATGATTGCCAATGAGACAACTCTCCATCCAAGTCACAATTTGTAAAAGTAAACCATTATAGGTCAAAGTACGGCCTTCAACACGGAGTCTTGGCTCACACTGAACAGCAAGCTATAAAGGGCCCCAAAAACGACTAGTGTAAAGCATTTAAACAGGAAAACCAACGGTCTAATCTATATAAAATAAACGAGAAACGAGAAACACTTATGAACCACATCAACAAACGACAACCACTGAACATCAGGTTCCTGACTAGGACTGGTGCAAACAAATGCAGCGGGTTTAAACGTTTTAATAGGTACACACTTTCGTGACATTTTTTCAGATGATTTGATACCATGAGTTCGCATCGAGTGTGTGATGGCATTTGGACCATTCCCGAACTCGTGAAACAAAATAGATTTAAACAAGTATCCACCAAAAACGCGGTGTAATATATCCCGTACTGGCTAGCATGACTACATTGGGTACCTTCAGACTATCATCATGTGGGCCGGTTCATCTGAAATACAGTTTAGGTTGCCTCACTAGCATAGCATACGTAAGGATCTTGATTATAATTGTATCTCGTTATTAAAATATTATTAATTTAGAAATGCTTGTAATATTTGCCACTGATAATGTTAAAAATCCATTCAGCCATCGACATTGTGTCATTAAATATCAAAACTATATTCTATTGTAGTAGCTTGACCCAGATCTCCAGAGAATTTATTTATACAATTCGTTATACTCGAGCTTTAAATGCATTTTTAAAAAACGTCAAACATATTATATATATATATATTAAATGAATACAATGGTCTTTCCTCTCTTTTGGTTGCCTCAAAACAACAACACATATCATTTTATTCATGACATGTACATGGTTAACTTTATTTATCGATTTGAGCATTATTTTTTTTTAATCAAAACTAAAATGTCAAAGATTACAAGTTGTATAAACGCCTGCATAATTGTGTCACTTAAAATGATTTTTAACCCATTGATATTATCTCGTGTCACCACAGTGTATACATTTGTTATTAAGATTCTGACAATTGTTACCCGCCGTAAATTTTGTAAACATTTTGAATGTAATTTGTTAAATTAAGCGTCAAAACTGGTTCAGTGAATAGCACACATAGCACGATATATTCTAAACGTCATATGTCCATATAGCATTGTTAACACGGATGACAATTCAGAAAATTTTATACTTTTTTACATTGAAAGATTAACAAATTCTCTCATTCATTATACAAAAATTTCACTGGAAATTCAGTGAACCTGATACCAATTTCAGATTATAAGACACGTTTTGTTTAACGTCCAGTGGCAACTATTACATGTATATCAGAATGAAAATATTTCAATGCTAGATAAATATGAACCTTGCTTTGTGCTATACTACAGTGTCTTTTACGTACAGTTTACATTGTAACAGTCTTCGGGACGACATGCCACCCTACTATGAGAATTTTTCTGAATCTGAGACGGCCGATCATTGTTGTAACTTCTAAGATACATCTTAAGCGGAAACGCTAAAATTCCAAATTTCAAGTCTCTAATTTTACCCAAACAGCTACTGTTCCCATGACTTCCCGGCTATTCCAGATAAGCAGGTTACTGCTAGACTACCGAGGCAGGGAGTTAAATTGAATATCAGCATAATATAGTTTTCAATTTAAAAACTGAAGAAAAAAATGGTTGGCTTACAAAATTGATTTTGTTGCAATTGTTTCTTGAAACACCAAGTCTAACAAACCCTCAACAGATCTCACCTCAATGTTCCTTGTTTGACCTTATAACAAAACCTATAGACGTCTAGCATATGTGTTTTAATGACTAGCAGTCTGTAACAAGTGTTAGTGGATCATTCAAAACACTTTGTTTCCCTGGAACCTGTACAATACTAATACTTGTGCATATCGTTCATTTCTGCACTAAAACGTTTTGAAAACTTCAAAAAAAAAAAAAGAAGTATGCAACTGCTATCAATTGCTTAAGGTTTAGGAGCACTTGCCTCCTGTCAACTTGAAAAAAATATTAATTTGTTTGTCTAGACATTTTTAATGGAGTGAGAGCTCTTCACCCTGCAATTAACTCAACAATGAAGCTTCAACATTGTTTAGTCTAATATGTTCTGGTCACAAAGTAAACTTTGTTATGTAAGTTCTATCTGCATAGTAATTCACAATATGCTAATTTGTATGGATATACGTAATGTAATATGCTGCGTGTATAACACTTAGTGAACAATTATAAGTGGTATAAACCATGAATAATACTACCACTTAAAATGATGTATTGTATGAAGATCAATACGGTGCACACCCATCACAGATGCACTAACTCTATCTAAAATATGACAGGCTTGTCAATTGCTTGCTATTGTTTACATAGGATTGAATTACATACATGTAGGATACATTACTAAGTTAATACAAAGCAGAGGCGTACGGATAAACGACAGTTCAGTTATACATGTGGCTCCCGTTTACCCAAAATTATAATAAATATATCTCGAGTGTAAAACATATGCCGTATATGTAATACTTATCTCTGCTAGTCAAATTCAGTAGTAAATTTATATGTCAGTTTTTCGGGCGCTTTCTTATTTGAGATAAATACATATGACTTTCTATAAAGGGAGGCGAAAGATACCAAAGGGACATTCAAACTCATAAGTCGAAAATAAACTGACAACGTCATGGGAAAAAAAGACAAAAAGACAAACAATATAATACAAACCACAACATATAAAACTAGTGACTGAGCAACACGAACCCCACCAAAATCCGGGGGTGAGCTCACGTGCTGCGGAAGGGTGAGCAGATCCTGCTCCACATGTGATTTTTGTATAAACAATATATGCATACACTGAATATGCATTAACTGTTGGTTACTGAACGTGAAGTAAACCAAATAAATATAACAATCCCGTTTTTCCTTCTACAAAGTTAATTTATTTTATTGGTGTCGGATGATGACGTGATACACTAAGCGGGAATGACCTAATACAAGAAGCAGCATTATTACATATTGGAAAATAGTTCATCTTGTTCATCGATACTTCATAATTTTCTGTATAAAAGATTTACTTTATATAATTTATTAAGTTAAAAAATCAACTAGCCTTTTCCCATCCAACAGAGAACTTCTTTAGAGAGAACCGTTTGATTTTTGTGGGATGCATAAATCCACGTACAGTCATGTCTGGTCCGGATTATGGACGATAAATTTAAATCCAGAGTGAATGTGCTACGCACTCTTTATGTCAAAGAACAGATACAAGGTTAGCAATCTATCGTGGGTATATTACTGGAAAGGTGTTGCAAAGCAGACTTTTCCAATATATATATAACTGTTTGTTATAACTGAACCTTAAGCAAACAACAATATATCAATCAAAAAGGAGCCAGAAGACACCATAGGGACAACCACAATCACAAGACGAAGAAAAGCCAACAAAATCAATTGAGGTAAAAACAACGGAAAGACAAACAACTGAAGTAACAGTTCACATGATACTAATTTCATTTGAACAATTTGATGTTAATGAGAGATCGTTGATGACTTTTTGATAATTTTTGTTATGTAATTAATATCTTTAACGAATATCCCACAACTGTTTTTACTCAAATCTCTGTATTTGTCGTTTGACCCTGTTACAAAATAATATACCGGTAATCTTTTGTTCATGCATATTGCCTTGAACAGATTTCTTGTGTTTTGTTTACAAAAGACAAATTGTATCTATATTAATATTTGTTGCATACTTATTATTTCTCTCTTTATTCATATCTTGAAAAAGAAAACTAACTTGGCAGTAAAACTATAGGATACTGATTTAAAAAAAAATCTTTGAATTGTAAAAAGAAATAAAGGTCTTATGGTTTATCAAGAAATAGTTTTTTGTAATATCTTTCAATTATTCAATTTTAAAAGGCAATAGCAATTGAAGACCGAATGAATTACATGATACGTTTAAATACGTTACAGTTAAATAAATAGGCCATTAAACAGCTCATTTAAGAAATAATAATTAGTATTATTAAATGTCCTTTTATGTATATCAATATGTAATATCTTATATCTGTTTAAAGGCATCGAAGGTCAACAACTTTAGATGATACGACTGCAATCTGCCATTGAAGCACATTGATCCAGCAAATGATAGTCTTCCTATCATCTGCTATCATCAAGTATCTCATTTCCAGTGTAGAAATTATATATACTCTGAAAAAAGAAACACATAATGTTCTTATGCTGTGTACTTAAAATTGATTTCTTACATCAATGCGTTGGTATATTGAATGAAGATTTAATTCCTACTCGAATGTCATATACTATACTAAAAACAAAATTTGAAGAAAAAATACGATGAATTCGTTCAGTTTCTGATGCGTTAAAGTTAGTATCCACTGTGAACACCTCTTGCAAGTAAATGAAAACAAACTATTCTACATCTCCTTTGCAAGTGTCGAATCAAATTGTGTACGAGTATTCGGACTTGTGATATCATTTGCCATTTATGTTGCAATGGCTAACTGAGTTGGTCTGATGATTAAGATAAGGGCTTGCGTTGGCGGACGACTCTATCAAGTTCGTCGCAAAGATGTTCCATTGGGTTTGAATCCGGGGACTTTGATGGCCATGTCAAGACATGACAATTAAGAAATCCTTGGTTAAGCTTGATATATGGGACAGGGAATTGTTCTGCTAAAGCAGCAATTTCTTTCTGTAATTAAGATCGAACATGTATGACTACAAACTTTCGTTTCTTCAACGTTGAGCCGTCAAATTTCCTTGGACTTGGACTAAGTTTCTTCTGCAGTTGTATGATACTGTTGCCACATCATGATGATTCAAACGCCAAATGTGTTGACTTTCTGCATGTAGGCATGAGCGAAATGCGCGGATTCGTTCATCGCATCTTTTGGAGAAGAAAACGAGCCTTATCGCTTACCGAAATTCGATGCCAGTTCCTCATAGTTCAGACCCCAATGTATGAACTAGCGAACACATTTGTGTATCTGAGTCGAAATTTGTAGAACATTTTTAAGATCGTTTTGGACGAATTCTGCGATACCGAAGCCTTTTAAGGACTATATGGGCGTTAATTCTTCGTAAAACTAGGAAACCAGTAGCAGTGTTAGTTTATGTTAATATAACTGATAAATTTAACTTTAGTGTGAGATTTATAAGTACGCCTAAAGTCCGGTCAAGACTGGTACATTAAATGCGTTGCATAAGTGAAGGACGAGTGTCAATATGTTTTTTGCACGTTCAAGAAACCTGAGAACAATTTTTAAGGAGCCGTAGGGGGCAGTTAATGAGCCAAAATTATATATATATCCAACATACTCATATTGTGCAACGACAGTCCAAATTGTCTGCGTTTATCCCGGTCCTTACACTTTCCAGAGCCTACCTATCAATGATCTTGCTAATATACATGAATCCTTTGCAACTAGCTAGACGTACAAACAAACACCAATCTTATGCATTGTGATGACCATTGTTCGCCATTTGAATACAATTCATTTCAGCTTCATTAATAAGATTATGTGATAAAGTTCCTATTTTCTTTTCTGATAAGACATGCAGACAGGTACGTAAGCCAAGACACAGAGGCATTTTCTTTTCTGATAACACATGCAGACAGGTAAGTAAGCCATAAAACAGGGGAATTTTCTTTTCTGAAAAGACATGCAGACAGGTAAGTAAGCCATAAAACAGGGGAATTTTCTTTTCTGAAAAGACATGCAGCTAGGTAAGTAAGCCATAAAACAGAGGATTTTTTTTTCTGATAAGACATGCAGACAGGTAAGTAAGCCATAAAATAGAGGAAGTTTCTTTTCTGAAAAGGCATGCAGCTAGGTAAGTAAGCCATAAAACAGGATATTTTTTTCTGATAAGACATGCAGACAGGTAAGTAAGCCATAAAATAGAGGAAGTTTCTTTTCTGATAAGACATGCAGACAGGTAAGTAAGCCATAAAATAGAGGAAGTTTCTTTTCTGATAAGACATGCAGACCGGTGAGTAAGCCATAAAACAGGGGAATTTTCTTTTCTGATAAGACATGCAGACCGGTAAGTAAGCCATGCAATTTTCTTTTCTCTTGTTTAAAGCTGAACTTTATTTTCAAAGAGTTTATTATTAAAACATATGCGACACATTGGGTAATGATTAGTATACATGAAAATGTAATTATTATAGATTCACTTATTCATGAATACATACATAATAACAATTGGCATCAGCTATAGTTCTATAATACAAAAAAAAACATTAAGATACATATAAAAAATATAGGGATATTAATCAAGGAGACAGCTACCAAACTACACATAAAAACCAAAGGATATCCAGAGAAACCCAATTAAAATCCCCGTACGTAGAGTAAAATGTATATAAATCTCAATAATAATCTCTTATTAGTTATCAAAGGATGACGATACATGTAAAGGTATTCGAAAAAAACTACTTAAAAATGTATATACAATGTATGTATTTTATATCCAAAATACTTACAGAATAACTGTAAAACATGGTCATTTCATATATACATTGTACAAATTAATACAATATATCTCGTTGCCTTATGTGATTATTGATACATGTATAATATATAATATAAGGAGATGTGGTATGAATTCTGATGAGCCAACTATCCACCAAAGTTCAAATAAAGTAGATGTAAAGATCTAAGTATTGTCGTAATAAGATTTTTTTAAATGCGCTTTAGATTCGCATCATAATTCTATGAAAAGATCAGGGAAAATTTTCAAGAAACATTAATCACCAATAAATAAATAAAATTTCAGACTGTATATAAAGTAAATGAATAATATGCATGTTTCGGTTTCAAAAATGCACATTCTATCAAAACTAATTTCGCACTGGTTTTGTTTTATCCAATTAAAAGCCTCATCACAGAAATAAGTCCTTATAATGATGAATAATTTCCACGAGTGTAAGAAATTCTACTTGTTATTTCGTTTCTATGCCTTAAATTTGGTAAAAGAATTTTAGGGTTCCATAAGTTATGATGTTTCTTACATTAAAACGTGAAATCAATTAAGAAGCTAAATATTCTTTTATTAATTACTCATTTTTTATTTTCATTTTTAGTAAATAAATATCGATGCAATTGTAGAAGTAATCAGGGTTTTCCATTTCAATATAGCTAAGGTGCATCTAGTTCATCCTTAAAAGTTCAAGGAGGTCAATATTATGTTTGTACATATGACAGTGTGACATAACTGAACTAAGATCTTGTCCATGACTTTTAATGTACGATTTCCTTCCTTGTACATGAAACACCTTTTAACAGTGTTGAATAATCATGTCAATATTACCCAACTTTATGGCAAGCCAAAGTGGACAAAAAGAGTTATCTTTTAATATTAAGAAATCATTTTTTGATATTGAAAATTCATTTTTTAATATTAGAAATTCATTTTTTAATATTAAGAATTCATTTTCTAATATCAAAAAATGAATTTCTAATATCAAAAAAGAAAAACACTATTTCTTGATACTAAAAAATGAATTTGTAATATTAGAAAATGATTTCTTAATATTAGAAAATGATTTCTTAATATTAAAAAATGAATTTCTAATATTAAAAAATCATGAATTAATATTAGAAATTGATTTTTTAACATCAGAAATTCATTTCAATGGGGTTTAAAGTATGAAAGTGGAAACGATTTGTGGTGGAAGGACGAACATACTAAAGGCCTTCCGCCAATGAATCTGTGTGACCCTTATTATTCTATATAAATGCATGGTAAGAAATGATACTTTTTGCTTTTTGTGTATTAACATTCATCACTTTACTCTTAATGTACGATATTTTTTTGAGATATAGACATATAGCTTTTTTCTGTATTTTCCAGACAATTTGGTATTTCAGTATTCAGAATGCACAATGTTACTTTTGAACATATATGCTGAAATTAGGATAAAAAAATAACGATCAGTTGATCTAAATGTGCATTTTTCTTTCTTTGATATAATAAAATAGATTTAAGGTTCATATCTCCAATACGACCAGAAGAAGTACAGGAATGTTCCAATTGCAAGAATTACAACCATTCCAAATCGTAGTCCAATTTTCGCAACTGAGCCTTGTTGTAAAGATTGAACCTTTTTCACGTGCGCCTCTAATGCTTTCGCTTGCTCTTCGTCTTGTTTTCCCTTTCCAAATCCACAAAGTAAGTTGACAGTCTTCTCTCCACACGAAATGTCATCTACAAAACAGTCATGCTAATAAGAGTTACGTTGTTTGAGTTTATGACTTATATGATTATCAGTAATTCACTTAAAGACCGCATCCGTTTTCCTATTCTCGTTCCTCACACAGTCGAGTATCACAATTTCTTACTTGTAATAAACCCTCTACGGTACTGGTGGATCGTGGGATGCAGAATAGTCCAACAGTAATTTCTCAGTATCTATAGCTGATTTTTTTAACTTGTTTAGTGGATTGTTCAGTCTTTATTATTTCTTTTTATCTACGGTGTTTAGTGTTCTGCTATTTATTACATATTTCAATCCTTGGCATCACTCACTTTACGAATTTTTAGATTTTTAAATTTCGCTAACAAATTTATTAACATTTGTGAAATTCTACATCTTTATTGCAGTCTTTTTTAAAACAAAATTATGGCCTTTGAAATTGTCATTTTAGGACTTTTAAATTGTCCTATTGTCATGCATCTTAAGGAAAGATGGGATGTTTGAAAGTAATTTCTAGAATATCATACTGTAAACCAAATTATTTTCGCGAGCGATTTATTTTTGCGACTTTAGAATACATATAAAAAGTAGTCACGAGTATGACTCTCTTAGATAAATACACGCCGGAAAATCGGCTGAAAAGGGTTAAACGCGAAAACTAGTTGGTTAGCATAATTCCGTAGACTCCAACAGAGTTATGAAAAGACCGACTTGACTCGACACTAAATTTATTTTTACGGTCATCACAACGCATTTGTTGACCTATACGATATAGCTGAGTTTCCCCTCACAAGCGACATGTTTTCACAGTCTTAGATCTTTATATCCAATTGTAGTCTTACCTGATGCTGTCTTATTCCCGATTGTGACACTTTACTTGACTGATTGAGGATTTGCGGATGATTCATGCATAGCAGGAGACGCTTGCCCTTTAGACGCACCTGTCCTTTGGGAACTCAAACGATCTGTAATCTTGATTTGTCTTCTTAAAAGATTTTTGAGTTTGACAATCGATAAACTACCGTGGCCTATAATTTGATTTTCTGTAAGCATAAGTTTTATAAGCCATTTCAGAACAGTTAAACTAAAGCATGTGTTCCCGTAAGAAATCGTTACAAGGTATATGTTGACAGTTTCCTACACGTCAATTCGACCTTAAACAACTGTATTAGTCCTTTGTATACCGTTTGTCAACAGCGTTTAACTTCTTGGTTGGTTTTTTTTCTCATATCGAGGTAAATGGATGATAATCTTTTTACATTTGCTTTATTTTTAGCCGCTGAGATACAATGTAACTAGCGATTCCCTAGACGTTTGTGTGTTTGTTTTTTTTTGTTTGTAAAAAACATACCCGATGCGCTTCCTTGTTTATCGAGATCAGGATCCCTGAACACCTTTCTCTGGTCACCAGGATTTACTGTAAAGACTTGAGGATCTTTGTTCCCGTTCACACTGAGATGAATATCCTGTTCATTGGCTGTATAGGCGACATTGATTTGTGAATGTTTTGCCCCAAGTGTATCTTCTAAGTCTGGTGGAGGATCATTTCTGTGTCTTGTCCAGAATGTTGTTCTGTACAACTGTAATGAGTATATGATATACCAATTTCAATTCAATATTTTATTGATGACTCATCTCTCAATCAAATAAAACATAACTTTAAGTGTAAGATATACAGTTTGGTATAAACTCTCTTTAGGATTTTCAGAATAATCTGCTATAGAACTGATCAAACAGTTCTAAAAAATACTAACCTTGTCTCTTCTTAGGGAAATTTGTCAGAAACATTTCTGGGCGCATTACATTTGCGCGCATTTGGAGATTAAAAAGTTTTACGTTTACGCGCAGCTTTTGATTACATTTGCGCTTCAAATATTCAGCACTTTACGACATGTAAAATCAGTACTTTAATCTTTAGATTTGCTATTTATTTACATTTCTATTTGTATATATTTCCAGGATTAAGGGCTTGTGCTTAATAAAACCGACTTATCCTGCTCGAAAATAATAGTTAGATGAATAAATAAATAAAATCTACCTATATTTACCCGAGTTTACCTGTAAAATGAATGCGCGCAAACGTAATGAATTTTGTGCGCAAATGTAATGGTAATGCGCGCAAAAGTAATGCACCGACATTTCTATGGTAGAACTCTCAGAATCGATTACAGGGTAAAACTGTTGAATCAGTCTAAAATGTAAGGGAAGAGCTTATTGATTCGTTCTCATCTGAAATGGTTGTTGTTATTTTATATATGATAAATTTATAGTATTAATTATAGTCATCAAGAAATGTTTTTCAGTTACGGAAAATAAAATTAAACATAAACATACATATCTATCTGCTGGTGGTTCTGTTAGTAAACTGATGATGATGGCCAAAGCACCTGTCATTAGTGTAATGAACAGTGAAAAGTACATATAATGGAAGTTCTTTAATATGTCAGGTCTGTTGTCTGGTTTGTCACAACCCCCCGAGTCATGGTACACGAAAACCAAGATCATTCGAATTATTCCTGTTAACAATGCTATCATCAATGACCAAAACGCACCCTGAAAAGAAAGCATACATACTCTAAAACAATGTACATGTATCGAGATACAGCTGTGTTGTTATCGCCTTTTTGTTTTTTACGCCCTGTTATTTTATGTATGTTGATCTCGAGTTACAAATGCACAGAGAGAAGAAAAACTTTTACATATTTAGTACACCAGAAACGAGTTTCATCTACATATATTAGTACTTAGCAGTGTCGCTCGAAAAGTTATATGTTAATGATTGATTGTTTTTTGGTTTTTTTTGCGTTTAACGCCCCTTTCAACACAAACACCGACGGCAAAGTTATGCATGTTATCTAAATCTATTCCAATATTTTAATGAAGCGCAAATATACAACATAGCAAATCACAGTGGTTGCAGCATTCTGTCATAAAACTATACTTTAAGTTAATCAATATAACGACCAATCACCAATGATTAAAACAATTATGAACGGCAGAGGTTGTGAAAACTATAGAATAAAAAATGAAAACATTTCAATAATTTATTTGCCAATTCTGCCGTTGACAATGTAATGAGAGATCTACATTGGTATGACTTGTTTTCATTAGGAAGGACATACATTTGGGCTAGCGGAAAGAGCACATTATCAGTGCGTAATGTGTGTAATCGTTTTATTTTATCAAAATAGTTTTAATTACATATAATCTTTTGATAGGCTTACAACTTTTGATATCAATAGCTTTACTTATTAAATAACAGAAGAAAATTGGTAATTGGAAAATATGGTACTATTATGAAAAGAAAACCAGATCAACTGAGCGTCGTTGTAAAACGAAGAGTCAGCAAATAAGCATTGCCACACAAAAAGTTGGTTTAATTTTGCAACAACAGTTGCAGATTGCTATGCAGAAAATGTTATTTGTAAACAGTTATATAAAAACCTTTTCATTTACTCTTGGAACAAGTACAGCTAAAAGAAAAACAGCAGCAAATGGAGGGGCCAGGTAGTCTGTTATTTCTTGTATATAGATGAATATTTGACCACCTTGGATTTCTTTAATCACTGGGACCCATGCAATGGACACACCAATCATAACGACGATAAATATTCTAAAATATATATTACAAAATCATGGAACCAATGCTTTTTTAATCTTGTCCTGTCTTGCTAGTAGTGCATTTGCGGAGTTGTATTGTTTGCTTTATGATTCATTGTATTTTATAACTTCTTTAAATTACTGATTATTTCCTGTATTTTCATTTCAGGTCAGTCGGGCAACTTTTTGTATTGATTGATTAATATTGGCTCAATGTCCAGGCGCAAATATTTCATATATAATCATATAACGCTAGAACTATAGATAAATCAATAGGAGCGAGGAGCAAATTGGTTCATCAAAATGAAGGTCAAGAATGCAAATGCAACTAGAAAAAGTAAATATGTAAAGGTAGAAATTTTACCTTGCATAAATTCACGCAGAGACACTTCGCAGCCTATTTAAAAAATTGCTTCACGTACAGAGAGAGTACATCTCTCTACAATTAAAAGACATCGGATTGCACGTCCTCATTCTGACCAGTTACGGCTATATACGTATATGTCAAGCACAGCTACATTGTAAACGTACTACCTTTAAACACCGGTGTTACTGACGACAGGAGAACTCCAGGTGACTATACTTCTTTAAACACCAAGGGGGGGGGGGGGGGGGGGGGGGGGCTAGGATGAAAAATTTTGTCCTGCATTTTCTTTTAGTTGTAATCTCTGTCCTGCCTTTTTATTTTCGACTCTATTCGGTCCTGTCTTTTTTTTTAAGTTTATCCTGACTTTTTTTTACCTAAATTGTCATCCTGACTTTTTTTTACCTAAATTGTCATCCTGACTTTTTTTTTTTTGCAAGTGTCGCATCCTGCCTTTTTTTTTACTCAAAACTCCCGTCCTGCCTATTTTTTTCAAATTTCATCCTAGCCCCCCCCCCCCCCCCCCCCCCCCCACCCCCCCCCAATAAAAATCAAATGGTAGCTCCCTAATATGGTGTACCCGCCTAATATTTTGAACTATCATATCGTATATGTGTACATAATTAGCATTAAGACTGGAAAACAACATATGTGTACTACAGTAGAGTTTGTTAGATAATTTAAAATGCTTAGAACAGTAGATTGTAGACTGTACTGATCTTGTGTCATGGATGGATACCCCATATCCTTCGTGTTTTTTATTATACATGGTATCGTACTTGGATAATCTTCACCATACATTTTCACCCATACTTGAAGCGTTTAAAATGAATGATTAAGTGTTGTAATACATCAGTATTTGCTTTGTGCAGTCTTATTTTTGACAATAATTTCGGAATTTCAAAGAACAATTGCCTATCAATAGATCCTATTTTGGGGGTCCTACGGGGTGTTTTTGTTTTACTTACCTGCCAACGATCATATCTTCCCTCACTGATGAGTTCTTCCGTATTCTGTTATAGATATCGATGGTGAACAATGTACTTGCACTATTAAAGATGGAATCTAAATCGCTCATCAGGGCGGCAACCATGACGGCCATCATTAAGCCCCTCAATCCTATGATATCAGAAGAAAGAATAACAAATGTTTACGGATTCATTTTAGAAAATCAGGGAATGTTATGAATAAACGGAGATATTATGTATAATTTACTGAGACAGCAGCCCAACGATACAAACTTCAAAAACATCAGTACAACCACTAACAAAAGAACTAAGAAAATTTTGACAAGGAACTGTAAGGTTGAAATGGGATGTGAATCTTGCGTAGAATAATTTGATAAAATAGCTTCAGTAATGACAGATTATATGTGTATGTTTCGTGTTGCTCAATCCTTAGTTTTCTGCATAGTTTGTGTGTAGTGTTGTTTTCTTTTTATCTTTTAAAGTTTAGTCACGGTGGATTTTTTCGATTTCATCGATATATGACATTGATTGCCTTTAATAGGTGTTTTCTACTTTTTATGAGAAAAAAAATGATAATACGCCCATTGAAGGACAAAGAGAGACAAATCTTGTCATCTGTTTAGAACAAAATAGTCATCACCAAACTTACCATCTGGCATCAAACCTAATACAAGTCTTGGATAGGCTATATTAGTACAACCAGCATTGCTCTGACAGATATGGTAACATATATCAGGATCCACGCAAGCAACTTCATCTGACAATAGAAAACTTTTTAATAAAAAAAATATATGAATTTTTCGATCCAAAATCAATACTGACATGTTGTCCGATTTGATGCATCCGTCAAACAACTGGTCGGTAGCTCACGTAATAACATAAGTATAGTAGATGCTAGAATACTATTCGCCAATACTGGTGTTATTTAAAATATGGGAAATGAACACTACATGAGATACATTAATTGATTGGTCGAATGAGTGTTGTTTATTAAGCGATCAGGGGCAAATATTTCAGTCATTTTCAGGACAAGAAATAAACTTATACATAGAACAATTTTGAAGGTTGCTCAGAATGAACATCGGGAAATTATGACTTCTATTAGAAACGAAAGATATACCTGTATTTAGGAAAGAAAGATAATCTGCAGACCTATCAAAAAGTTATTGCAAGGGATTTTATTATAAATGGAGAGCGTGGCACTTTACCAATCTGAGATATCGCATTTACGTCCCCGTTCTGACTCGACCGGACGTGGCTGCGTATATTTATACATCCCAGACAAAGCCAAACAGTCGCATTTTCTAGACCTATTACAAAATTAGTGGGGTTTTTCATGCAGAGAGAGCGTGGTACTTAATCAATACGAGGCGTCGGATTAATGTGAATCTATAATCCTTGACACAGCCAAACTGGCGCACCTTCTAAATGGGTCTCACGTTTAGTTGGGAATAACCCAGGTGACCATATGTCTATCATCAGAGATTATATGTATAATTTAAAAAAAAAAAGATTTTCAGACGAAAATATATTCAATCTTTGCCTTGAATTCTGCACGCCATCAAACCAAACATTTAAATGACGGTTTAGTGCAGAATTTTATTCTTATTATCTTACCAAGAATGAAAAACGGCCTTCAAATTTAATTTTAATAAGAGACACTTACCAAAAATTAAAGATTTAACAAGCACAACTAGTGTGTCAACAACTTGAAATTGTACAAAATGTATATTGTAAATGTCATAAAACAAAGTAAGTACATCAGTCACTACTCATTGTATTCAAGTTTGAATATAATATATGTATAGGTGTATTGTGCAACAGTATCACCTGAGTGCAGTATGTGAATATGTTACCTGCATATAATACACGACTGATCATTCCAGGCATCACCATCATAAACAATGGCAATATTTTAATAAATCCCGCTAGTAGTGTCGCACCTTGCGCATGGGAAACACTTTTGGCTGCCAGTAGTCGTTGAACAATAACCTGTAAAATTCAACGCTTGTATTTGTATCAGAACAAATTATAAACAGTTTTATTCTATCATATTTCACATCAACATGATACATTTCATGATATTTTCAACATGTTTATTTGTTAAAAGTATATTTTGTGTTATTCTTCAGTATAGTGAATGTAAAGTCACAAACGCATGCCTTCCATGTCCAAGATAATATAAAGAACATCAAGACTGTTGATTTCCCTTGTTTATCATGTTTCATTCTTTTTTTAAAAACTCTTCTGGTTTTAACCAAGACTATGCACTAAAAGAAGTCACAATATTTCTAAAAAAAACTTCAATGAGGTATTTTATTAAGATGCTTGTAAAAGAAAAGTTCAAAACTCATTTCTTCCAAAAGATTTAATATGAAAAGTTCGGAGACATATAACAGTATCCAATTATACGTTTTGAATTTTACAATATAGCAATTAACACTCAAATAAGCGCATTATAAATACACATCAACACGAGGCTTATTTTCATGTATGTCAACTTATAAATAAAATATATAAAAACATACGCAAATTCCGATTTGGGGTGTTATTTGTAAATGAGAACAATCAAAATTTAATCATGACTATTTTATTTGAAAGACGGACCTGGTCTGCACACCAGTACCATATCGAACCAGGAGTCTGACCTAGCAGAAAGCCTGGCCATGGCATGTAATCGTCGTCTGCTTCTCGTAACATTCGGAACGCATTGGGATCTGGCTCGTGACAAGTTGTATTCGGAAGTCTGTATGAAACATTCGTACTTGCTTCTTCCGACATGTATCTTCTAACTAAGCCGTCATATCCTCCAATTTTATTAAATGCTGCAAGTTAATCCACACAATATTAATTATAATACAAGTAACACATCGAGCTTCTACTCACTAATGATAAACCCGCTTTAAGAACAGGTTGTTGATAAGTAATGAAGCTAGAAAATCACATGGTTAAACATGTACACATCAAGCCGGGTTTTAATTTTCGTAGAAAAATGCGACGCAAATTCATACAGGGTTTTACTCATTGTTGAAGGCCGTACAGTTACCTATAGTGTTAACTTCTGTGTCATTTGGTCTCTGGTGGAGAGTTGTCTCATTCGCAATAATACCACATCTTCTTATTTTTACCATTATGTATTAAATTAGAATATTTACATTTGTAAGTCATTGGTTAATCAACAACAACCATTTTATTTGTCATTCAAGACGCCCCGATGAGTAGAACAATTACAGTTTAAATTAAAGTGAACAAATAATTTTTGATGATTTTTGTTATTGAAAAAGTACAAAAAATTAAAATATATAGGAAAAGGGAGACATATTCTCAAAGATAAACATGAAATTGATGAGCGATGAATCTGAAACGTCATCATACGGTAAAGCATGTTCGCAGGAATCTCTTATTTCTAGTTTCCTAGAAAAATGGAACATTTATTTCATGCGTTACCAGGATCTGTTAAAACATATCGGTAAACAGGAAGTTGAGGATCAATGAATCTGAAACCGCAACACATGATGACGCATGTTCACTAAAAACGACTGATAACAAATTTCAGGAAGCTCTGATTTGTAGTTCTTGAGAAAGATGCGACGGAATTTCATGGGACGGACGGACAAACGGATCCAGATAGACAGAGTTTAAATAGTAACTCCGTACAGTGATCGTTTTCGTTCCGGAACTGTTTGCCCTTAATTGATGTAGAGTAGTTTGCGGATCGGAGCTGGAACTGCCGGGGAGTTTGTTTAAATAGTATACTCCTACTTCTCTTCGGAGCAGGGGTATGAAAGTGTATTATATTTATCCCTACCTTCTTTTGTTAAATAAGTTGCTAATTCATTTATATGTATCCTACATTTTCTTCTATTCAAATGGACATTAAAATAGGAGGCACATACGTCAGAATATTGACACGAAACTATAATAATATATCTAATACTAAACAAGGACTAGTAGAATTCCGAATCGACTCTATTCAGAAATCTAAGTATAAAAATCCCTAAAATAAAAATAAAAACAATTCAAGATCGTCTTTCATGATACAAACTATCTGGAATTAAATATTTTTTGTATGGTCTGTTTTGTCCCGTTTGTGTCTTCTCTGTCTTTACTACGCAACAAGTGCCAATAGTGGAGCAGAGACTGATTAGACTTCCGAAGTAGCAGGTTCACCTCCGATTTTTGATGGAAGTGGTGTTTATTTATCTTTTTTCTTGTCACTTTGCTTGTTTTTCATTTGGTCATGGTCCATCCTCCTATGATATATTTTCTTTTATTGCGCTCTTGGTATTTTTAACTGTTTTGTTCTACTTGTTACAAATTCACTACAGACATAATTTGAAAAAAAAATATGCTAAGTACTGTATTACCTCAAATTATCATACACATGTGCCTACTCAATTCTCTTGTGGTTATCATATTACATGATGTCAAACTTATATACTGGTACGATATTTTCATTATTTCAAATTTGGCATTGGTAACGTTAGTGTTTTTGCATATACATTAAAACATTTTGGATAGCCATATTTCCTCGGTCCAGTATATGAGTCTGTCTTCCTTGTCTTACTTACTGTATGATATGTTCATTTAAATTCTTTTTAAAATAATTGCGTGTAGCCTTTGCAGCAAATATATAGCTATCTAAGGTTTACATGTATAGAGTTTTGCTATCTTTGAAACACTATTAATGTTGTTCTTGTCCTTTTGTTAAAATTAACTAGGGTGTGAAAGAGTTTTGTGTCTTACACAGCAAAGGACGAAGAACTATAGAGACTACCACAAATTCAATTGTCTTTAAATGACACAAAATAAACTTCATACAAAGATATATTTAACAAATTTTGTTGCTTACATATGCCCATAAGGGTCAAGCCTCCTCCGACCATAAGGATTGCCTGCATAGTATCGGTATAAATGACAGCCGTCAAACCGCCTACAACAGAATATAAATGAGTCGGTTATAAAAGTAATCAGTCATAGACTTTAGAAGGAAAACATGACGTATAGTCTATTTGAACAAACTGGTGACGAATTCTTCATTAATGTAAACGAACTTGAACACCTAAAAGTAAACACTTAAGATTAAATTCACTCTTTCTGAAAATGAAATAACATCAGAATACCTTCCCTAAAAATCCCCCTCCTCCAGATTTGAAATCACTATTATCTTTGTAGCAAGTCTAAACTGCTACATGTAGATGTTTGCATTGTTTTTATAATTGTTGTTTCTTTTAATCAGAGGTTGTAGAAGGAATATATTTTAATATAATCATGAACTGTTTTACGCTAAAAAATCCATCCGGTTTTATTGTGTTCTTAGGTTTACATCCCAGCAACGTATCTAAATGTCCTGTGACTATAAGAATATAAGAGATGCTAAAACATGAAAGGATATTTTTTTCGAGGCGGAATAGCAAATGGCAGTTTGAGAAGACATGATATAGCACTAACATTTAGAGAAGGAAGATAGAATTATACTAGCTTCAATTGACCAAGAATGTGTGTTTCGAAAATCGAATACTTAGTATCAAAAAGCATGTGTTTATTTAAACCTATATAATATATATATACTAGTAGTATATGATAGAACCACAGTCGGGCGTATAACATGTAAAAAAGATGTTTTCCAGCGTTTGTTTTCTTTTTTCATCTTTCACTTTTTCTTTTCTCGTTTACTTCTTTACAATATATCGATGGTCAACTTTCTGTCAACTTTCCATATTCAAGTTATAATTCGTTTATCCTTCTAGTCGACATTTAATTGCTTCCATAAATATACAATGTATTTACCTGCGATTGTAATGATGCCAGTTATAACAATGAGAATGAAAATGCTCAGGTACAAATCCCAGCCGAGAGACTGCTGAATGAACAAGGCACCGGTAAATAAATCGCCCTATCAAAACAGAAACATCAGCTTTTACTGAACAGAATCGGGTGAGTATAAGTTTCAGTTTAAGACCTCTACATTGTATATAAGATTTCGAAAACACGTAAATCTTTCTTGTAATTAATGACTGTTACAATAACTTTCTTTTATATTGAATCATTTTACTAAAGTTGACTCTGGTTATGTTATTAATAAACTCATTTATCTCAAAATTCCTGAAACCGAAGTTACACATGTTGTTTTGAGTCTACGGAGTCAGAAATTACAAATTATTGTTACATGCAATGTAAATTTTGATTGGCACGTGAAAAATTCGCCCATTATCCAGAAAGGCAAACGCTGTACACGAGAAATAAATTAATGTTCTACCATGAACAAGCTCTAAACACAAGGTTCAAGTTCGCTCCATCCAAAAAGAACTTAAATTGTTTGGTTCAGTTTACTGATGATGTCGTGGGTAAATATTGGATCTCTTGGAATTCGTAAGCAATTGTAATACTTTATAAAACAAACTTGAAACTTACAGAGCACTTTGTAAAGATATATAAGACAAGAGACAACACTGCAAAATATACACGGAGTCTGACTCCACCAAATCGTTTTGACAGATATTCTGGCATAGTCACGGTCTGAAAGAGAGGAAAAAAAGCAAATATAATTACATCATGTGTGCGATAACACTTCAATTGAATTTTGAACAAGATTATACTAAAATCAACCTACTAGTAGTTAGTGCATAGCCATTTTGAGATTAAATCGTGTAAAATGATAAAAAAAAAGCGTTTACGTAAGAATTTTTGTTTTATCTGTGAAATTTTGCTTTATGGTCACGAAAGAGACAGGCAAATCAACGCAATATCAAATATTGACCACAGATACGTCCACAACAAATACTTACTCCACATGCTATGTAGACTGGTATAAATACAAATCCCAACAGCTGTAGTAACAGAATAGCCTGTAACGAAAGGTTTTCTTTTATATAGCTTTTTAAAAAACTGAGATAAGTGTAGATACATTTTGTTTAAAAGAAGAAAGTTTTTGAAAAAGATTGATTGATTGAATTTTGTTGAACGTTCAGTGGCAAATATTGCATGCATGTTCAGGACAATTTGAAAAAAAGATGAAATCTTCGCAATAAGCGAATCAGGGTGTTTGTTTTTAAAATTTTAATTTAAAAAGAATCAGATTTAAAAGAATAAAAATTGAGAAAAAGAATTTATCAATATCGTCACACACACACACACACACACACACACACACACACACACACACACACACACAATAGATGAAACTCACTTTTGTTTATCCTGTTTGAAAACTAAATTCCAATTCCACATTTAAAATTTTAAATTGATATTAATTGTGTAGCGATGTTCCGCGTTCCACAACAGTTACTATACCATTCAATAGAGATAAACTGGAAAAAGTCGTATCCTGAAGTTCAACACTGTATCCGCTAATTATTGCATATTTCATGTTATTTCGCTTTCTTTAATGTGAAATTTGCAATTATTATTTGGAAGCAATCCTGTAAACTACGAAGTGCATTTTACATGATTTCAATGAACTATTTAGTGGGCATAATTAAACAATAATAGCTAGTGTTCAGGAATACACAATGGTTTAGAAAATGATTTATTAGCGAATTATATAAAGTGCGGAACTTATTTTGATTGTAGCAAATTGAAATATTTAATAAAATAAACATTGGAAATCTAAGTCTATGGAACACACGTTATGACCATGATGATGAAGGATTGTTGTTTTACGACCAGCGGAGAATATTACGTGCATATCAGGACGAGAACTTGTTAATGTGATATGACCACACAGGAGCGACACGATGAGCCGAATTTTGTTAACGTGCTAGTTCAAAAGATAATAGTCCCAAGGAAGGCAGGTCATCCTACAAAGAGACATTACTTTGACTTCGACCTTTATGGCTCTAACTCCCAAATAATCCGTGCTAAGCGGAAAGCAGCCAATACCATTTTTCTAGTTTATGGTCTGACCAGGCGAAGAATCGAACCTATAACCTCTAGCATTCGAGGCGAGCATTCGTATTCGTATATTCCTGAATTTGCACTCAACATTTACCATGACTGAATGTGAAATAAACAAATATGTCGATAATGGAATAAAGGTATACATTAGCGAAACGTTCATAGTCTTTACGCATGTACAAATATATATTTCAAAAATACACATCGTACTTTGCATGTGTGCAAATATTCTTTTTCATTAAGTGTTTTGGACATGTAAATTTTCTCTCATAGTTATGTGTGCATTTGCGTTTACATGCACGTTTTACACATATTTTTGTTGATGTGGTAGAGTGTTTTACATTAATATTTATTTTCTTTCAGAATAAATAATATTAATAAGTAGTTTTATTATATGTATTTTAAGAGTTCATCAATTCTTCTATTCTCTTATGTAATCTTATTTTCTTGGTATGTTATATCTCCTTAGTACTGTAGTTCTGCTCTATTTTTCTGGTTCATTAGACAGTCAGTCATGTGTCATATTATCTTGTCTTCTATTGGTCATAGTCACTGAGTTCAAAGTTTTACCACACTTTCTGAATACCTTGTGATAGAAAGCTATATATCATAAAATACAGCAGCCATATTTAAAATAGTTATATTGCTATATATTCTGGACACTAATTCCATATTAATCAGGTCAGTTACTAATATTTCTAAGTCTTTAATATTTGCACAGTTTTCCTTTAGTTTGAATCTCAGAGAAAATGTATTTTTGAATAAGTCAGAATGATTGTGCATGAATGATAGATATTTTATTTTATTTAAAGAAGTATTTTCATGAACTCAGAGAAATAATATATCATATTAATGATACATGTATTGGTACATTTATATTATTATTATAAAAGGTCTAAAGCAATGTCTATTGAACATTATACTTTAGTTATTGTTTATAAATGCTATGCAGATATAATTTAGTTCGTTAGACTTATGTAAGTTATATTCATATTTTTAACAGGACCAGAATATCTTGATGTTATTATAATCTGGTGATGTTTTCAAATAGGAGATAGACCTTTGTACCATATATATGGTAAGATCAGTGTTTCAATGTATTTTTAGTTTACTGTATTGTCTGTGTTTGTCAATTTAATTTTATTTCAGTATATGTATTGTTTATGTCTTGTGAATAGTAGTTACCTGTATGTCAATAATTACATGTAAACATTATAGTAACAAATAGTTCATTCATAAATCAATGAATGATAAGCGTAATATTATTGGACAGAATGTAGCACTTAATCCTGACTTGGTGTATAATTGAGTTTGATTGAATTTATACATTTATAACATATACACTTTAATAGTATTGGTTGTATTCTTATAGAAAGGAGCCAGTTTATCGTATTTTATACATGTACTTTCCGTTTTATGAATTAGAGTTATATCCCTTTGTACACCGTATTGTCTATGCATTTATGTTTTTGTTATTTGTGTATTTTCAGAGTTATTTATTTATGTCGTATAAATAAACATCTTTAAACTTGACGAATCCTTTTATTTCGTCCAAGAACCCTATTACATTAACTTTTTGTCTCTTCGTCGTTTTTCTTATTGTGTTTGCCATGGCTTTGTCAATTTGTTATCTTCTTATTAGTTTGAATATCCCTTTTGTACCTTCCGTCTCTCTTTTAAGAATTCAGAAACAAATAGTTTGTTTTGTAAATGTATATCGTACGTACATTGAATTCCCATGCTCCAACACTTATACCATTGGCTGCTCCAGATCCCGACAATCCAATGAAATGCTCTGTTCCTATATTGCTGACAAATAGTGAAAAACCAACCTAATAAAGGATACAAACTTGTTAGTTTTTTTTTGTTAAATAAGAAAACAAAACTTTTAATGCTTGAAATATCATGCAATCAGTAATATATTTCAACTGAAATAAGAATTAAGCGTATACATGTACATGTACATGTGTGTATTCACTGAAATACCTCCTTGAAAATATTCAATATCCTTTGTTGAATACTTATTATCAGAAATCGGAAGCCTAGGCATAAAGTCATCATCCGGAAATTTAAAAAAAATGTTTTTTCCACATTAATTAAAACGGGAAAGATTTGTCGAATCTGCGAAAATTATCTGTATCAATATATTTATTCAATATTGATTGATTTCTGGTTGTTGACTTTTCAATTTCTGGACGGACACAAATCAACAATACATACAATACATGCGAGTTGATTCAGAAAGTGAGGGACGGAAATTTAAACTGAGGGTATGTATCCATCCCGCACAGTCGTCTTTGAATTCGCTTATGTTTTGAGAAAAGTCCAGGGTATTTCCATACACCAGGTAACCCTTGTGGTGTTTCAATATTAAAACAGCAGCATTTGTTATTTACACGAAACAGCAAAAGTTATTAAATGAATTTCTTTTGATGTATTTTAATATGAATCAATCTAATGAATAAAAGAAAATCAATACAGATTACTACGTACATCAAAACTTCTATCCATGACCGTTTAAAGATGATCCGGGCCAATAAACTGACATATGACCTCAGTAACTAAATCATTTTTAAATTAAAATTCATATAGCTATCTCTCTTTCAATGTTTTTCCAGCGAGTTATACCCATGCTTCCTGTGAACAAGGTCCTAAAAAAATATTCTGATCCCCAATTTGATGAAAAAACATATTGTGGTCAAGCAGATGACAAAAAAAATATTCTGAATCCAGATTTTCCGCATACCTTATAGTATTAAATTTTGAAAAAAATAATTTAATTGATAGAGTCGAAAAACTTTAAGAAAAAAAACTAAAAAAAAAACATAACCCCCGCCTTGAAGTTAAATGGTTGCTTCCTTACATTTTGTGTTTGAGATACACTTTGAGTACTAGTCCGGCTTTAAGTTCTATTTCCATTTCGAGTTGGAGTAATAAACCTATCATAGATACCAGGCTTAACATTTTGTATGCCAGACACGCGCTTTCAGAACCATCAGTGACGCTTGAATCAAATACATTCAATTATATTTGAACTAACATTCTATACCTGAACACCCCATTTGCACCGAGAATATGGAAACATCAACAAAAAGTTTTTTTTAACGTGTATCTTCTATAGCGCAGTGTTACAAATACGCAAAGGAAACTTATCTAAAGGAAATTTAGTGTTGACTTAAACAATACATATTAAAAACAATATACATGTATTAAATTTATTAAATTTATTTACCGGAATAAAATACATTGCTCTTCCAGCCAAGAAATATCCACTTACTGTACCCCTGTTTGCTCTCCACATAGCCTGTAAAAAAAAGAAACTGTATAGATAAACAAAAATGTCTAAGACGGATTTTATGCTGTGCATATCGAATATTTTAGTACATTTGTATAGTCTAGAACTATGCATATTTTCAAAAATTATATTTTAAATCATTTATGATTAAAGATTTATAAAAGTCAGACAGACTATAACAAAAGCTGAAAACAGATATTTCTAAATTATTTTCATTTACCTGTGTTTAAAGTTATTGCAAATGGCTGATATTTTTGTTCGAGCATATTGTTTTGCTTAATTTGTTTAACATTTCATACCGATATAACATGTTACTTTTTATTATTCTTCCCTTCGTTTATTTATTTTGTATTTACATTGTATCATACTAGGTCAAATTTATTTGTTCAGTGTATGTTCACAGGTGTTATTATGTCCTTTGATTGAGTTAAGCTATTTCAGTTGATATTTTATAGTGTGTCTTTCTATGTTGTGATGTTACACTATTGTTTCAGGAAAAAGGGCGAAGGTTTGGTACCATTAAAACGATTAAACCCGCTGCATTTGTTTGCACCTGTCCTAAGTCAGGAATCTGATGTTCAGTAGTTGTCGTTTGTTTATGTGGTTCATAAGTGTTTCTCGTTTCTCGTTTTTTATATAGATTAGACCGTTGGTTTTCCCGTTTGAATGGTTTTACACTAGTAATTTTTGGGGCCCTTTATAGCTTACTGTTCGGTGTGAGCCCAGGCTCCGTGTTGAAGACCGTTGAAAACCTATAATGGTTTACTTTTTTGACTTGGATGGAGAGTTGTCTCATTGGCACTCATACCACATCTTCTTATATCTATTTATCAAGATGAATCAAAATTTACGTAAAATGATTGGACATTTAATTTCGTTATCACATATGCTTTTAAATTACTTGGTTGATGATCAATTTCTTGCTTTAATTTTAAAACATATGCGTAATAGTCATCATTCTTTTCAGACCACAAAGAATGTTATCCGTACTATTTCAACTTTGCTTTTTACTACTGGAAGCAAAGCAGAATTATTTTCATAAAATGACTGTTTCGATCGTTCTTGGCCTCAAATTTTCTTTGTTTTTGTTTTTCAAATTCAGAAAACTAAGAATTCCCCACTAAAGACCACAGCCGTTGCTTTGAAGGGGAAGCAGTTTCTGTTGCTGTTCAAATTGTAACACCTATTAGTTTTTTTATTCACATATTCATTTAATCTATTTGTTCGTCCTATGTATGATTATTTGGTACTACTTACAAAGATTCCAATGAGAACAACCAAACAAAAATAACCAACAATAACGCCGATATCATTTCTGCTCAGTTTGACGAGTTCTTGGGGATGATTTTGCTTAAACAGCTCCAGTCTATCTTTAGCCATTTTGAAAGTTTACCTCTATACCTGTAACGGTAATATGATACATGTTAAGATTTAAGGTTAAGGTGCACCAAAGCACATATTTCATATTCAATCAACAGAAACCCAATAGTTTTTCAATTAAAGTTATATACAGAAAAATATTTTTACTTGTAAGTCTTTATTTACACTCACAAACTATGTTTACATGAAACATGGGGTCAAGGATCAAATTACAAATCAAACACAATAAATGACAGAATAGACTCATACAAATTTTATATTCTAAAGATTACAAAACTGTTTATGCATCTATTTGCATGAGTGTGACAGTTTCTTAATGAATATAGATAATATAGCTAACTTAAAGAGCACTTCAAAGTTTATTTTATCGATGACTCCTTGTTCAAATTATCTATGAAAAGCAAACTATGTCGCCACATGATTTTGCCTGTACATGTATATGAATAAGAACACATACATGTACATACACATACGGTAAATGTAACGACGAAATCACACCGTAAGAATATCAAATATTAAGTAAAGTATAAAGATTACAGCATATTCAACTTTTTTAAAAGTAAAAGTAATTTCAGATTATAAACTGTTACAATCAAATGATAAAATACTAAAGACAAAATGTTATATAACACATTTAATAAGAATTTTACTAACTTCTTTTACAAAAAATACCAAACCCTGCGTTTTAAAACGCCATTGAAAATTCATTATCTAATTTATCGAATTCTTGTACTTTCACCTGCGAATTCCTGGCTTTCGTAACGTTTATAATTATATAATGTATTATAATATATAGAATAAGGAGACGTGATATGATTGCCAATTAGACAACAATTAAACAAAGTCCAAATAATGTAGATTTAGACAAGTATAGGTCACTTTAAGGCCTTCAACAATGGGCAAATCTATACCGTATAGTACGCTTAAAAATTCTCCGACATGACTAAATTTCAACAACAACAGAACAATACCTACAAGATTTATGACAAAACGAAAACTGTTAACACAAAAAAGATACAGCAGACAGCTCCAAAATTACATGTACACAATGCATATAAGTATCGGACGTATTCTGCATTTGCAATTGGCGATCGAACATGATTCAATTGGATTGTCTCCCTTTAAGCGCCTGTGTTCTTTCTCTACACGTTTGCTATAAACAGATATTTCATTCTATGGAGCAACGTTAAATCTAAATATTTAAAAACAAATCTGTCAATAGAAATTCATGCAAAATCCTTAAAAAAATACTTGCGGAAATTAAATGGAATTAAAGCTAAGAAGATTCAGACAGACAATTACAAAGCAGTGGTATTCTTAAACGCAGTTTACTTCGAATTATAGATAATAGCTTTGGAATTACAAATGTATAGTCTAGAGACGAATAAAATACAACAAAATTACTTTAAATTATTTCCTGCATATACAGATCTTTATAGATGAGTGGATGTAAAAAAAGGGTACATAAAAGACTTACAAAGATGCTAATATGATTGGACAGGTAAAAGCAAAATTCCACTACTACATGTAATATTGTTGAACCTCGATGATACTGACAGATATATCTATGCAATATCCTCTTCAGAATTATTCAAGACTACTAAAAAGGAATCACGGATTGATCTTAAAGCTTTATCTGTTTACGATACCAAAAATTCCACTAGTATTAGTACTAGTGGAATTTTTAGTATCATGATCATGACAGACATCCATCTTTCTATCTAATAAATGCTCATATTTTTATCATTCATGTATTGTCAAATTCACATGAACAAATGTAATTTTATCCTGTATATATCATGGTTACATATATGTTATACGTTACACGGTAGTGTGGATTCGCATGACGGGCGAAGCATGCATAGTAGGAGACACTTTCCCTGTCGACGTACAACAGTGTACCCGGTATGATTCGTTCCTTTTGGAGTTCATGCAATAAACGTTTTTCTTTTGAAATTGATCTGTATGCAAATTACTACTGTTTTTAATAAAAAAAAAAGAGATAAATTTCAAAAGTTTGAAATATGATAACATTTAAATGTTAAACTTGCAAAAGGAATAAAATTGAGAATGGAAATGGGGAATGTGTCAAAGAGACAACAACCCAACCATAGAACAGACAACAGCAGAAGGTCACCAACAGGTCTTCAATGCAGCGAGAAATTCCCGCACCCGGAGACGTCCTTCAGATGGCCCCTAAACAAATATATATACTAGTTCAGTGATAATGAACGCCATACTAAACTCCAAATTGTACACAAGAAACTAAAATTAGAAATAATAATCTAGCAATATAAAAAAAGTAAAATAACAAAAATACCGAAACTCCAAGAAAAATTCAAAACAGAAAGTCCTTTATCAAATGGCATAATCAAATGCTCAAACACACCAAACGAATGAAAAACAACGGTCATATTTCTGACCTGGGCTGATATGCATAAAACCACTTAAGTTAAGATATCCAATCGTAGTACTAATTTATCGTAGGACATGATGAAAAATCCGTCCGTTCAGAACAAATCTTAACTTAAGTAGTTTTATGCATATCAGCCCTGGTACCTATTCCTGACTTACTACTTATGGCATATTTTAAAGAAGGATGATATAAATGTATATTAAAAATAATGAAATGACACTGACCTTTGATGCTTGATGTTTTGAAATGTTAAATGCAGATTGACCCTTTCACACCCCAACCAGAAAACAAATTATTTTAGGTGGATAAGTAGCATTAAACAGTGTTAATCTTAAGTTACAGGGTAAACACCATCTCAAAAGATCGCCACGGTACTGACACTTCACCTATCTAGAATAAATTTGTATTTAATGTAAATGGATTGTCCTCTTCAAACACGCTACGGTTTGTTTAAATTTCTAAACCAGTATTTGCATATGTAAACACATGTAATTACTTTCGAGATCATGGAGTGTTTAGTTATCAATCATATGGTACATGTATATTGCCTGTACTACATGTTATATGTATAAAATAAAGTTAAATTGTAAATTTACTATTCACTTAAGAATCCGTACTGTCTTGTTTTATTGTTAGTTTGTATTTGAGTAACGAGTATAGTTCATTTTATGTCCACATGCAACAAAAAAAGGGTCAATTCAAAGTCTACTATTATCTAATTTTTTTCTCAACCAAAAGAAACAAGGGCACCAAATTGGACATTTCTAGTTATATATTGTCATTACGATTTGTGATAGTACTCATTAGCCATGATAGTACATGTATCTGCCCTTTTTCTTCTAATAAAGAAAAGTCCATGGTATGTGTAAAAAAAATAACTGTGGATATGTAATAAAATATAGTAAAATAATACAACATTGGATAATCATATAAATATAAAAGTACAATTAGAGCAATGCATAGAAGTCAACTGAGGACGCAAGCATGCTCTACTACCTACACAAAAAACAAACCCAATAAAATGTAAATGTACAATATATAAAATTTCATTCTTGCTCATTGAATTATCAAAAAGTACACGAAAGAACGTAGATCTACAAAAAACACTACAGGATTTACATGTAGTTGTATAAATAGCTTAATTTAACAGATAATAATTTATCAATAGGTCCGTAATAAATCATACACAATATGCACCTACACTGTATTTGAGCTGCAGGTTAGAGGAAAAACTCGTTTATATAATCACGATGCCTGATGAGGGTATATGTATCGACTTTGACGTTTAAAGATCCCCAAACTTTGATACTTTTAATGCGTAATAAATATAATATGAACTCAGGGAAAACCGAAAAATCTAATTTTAACTACCGAATAAACATTAATTTAATCTAATGACAAAAAAAGTCAAGATTTAAATTCTCTTTAATTTTTATCAATTTAATTTATAAGACGCAATTTCTTTGCCTCTGATTTAAAAATGGCTTGCACTAGTGGTTTAGTATTGAATTTAACTGTTACAAATATAAAAGAGTTATTATATTTGTAGATCATTGCGAAATATAGATTAAGCATTATAGAACTTATAAATGGAAAAAGAATGGTCAAACAGCATTTGATCACTCCCATTAAACGTCACATCTGGTAGTACTTACAACATGTTGAGTTATACATTATACTCCTTCGCTTAAATACAGGATATACATGATTTAAAATGTCAGGTGTGAGTATAATGGAATGCGACATGTTTGGAAGAATATACATGTAAAACGCATTTCACCTAAAAGTATCACCGACCGTGCGAGACCGTCATGGGTAGTCAAGGTCGTTAAACACCCCCTAGTAGTAGTACCTAAATGTTCTTAAAATATTTTGAGGATCCCATGTCATGTTTATAATGTTAATATAAATATAAGGAGACGTGGAGTATTACTATACTTTGATGATCCAGCAACGCAACACTCAAGTTACTGTAACAACACAAATAACCAAAAACATTTAGAAGTCATTATACAGTATCTGATAAAAAGATACACTTTTCATAATACATTTGTTTCCAATGGATATTAAATATTTACAGTTCATAAAAGATGAAGTATTCTGAAGCTAAGGGTGTAACTCCCACATGCAATTTGACTTTCAAAATTAGAGACTACATGATTATCACAGTAAAAAGTGAAAAGTAATAAATAATATATCTGTGGTAGAATGCACAAAACTGTGATAAAGGGACATTAAACAGTCTTTTACCAAAACTATCAACTTTTAAGCAGATAAATGAATACATAATATTGAATTATAATGAATTACCTTTTATACAAATATTGTATGTGAAAGTCGGGAATAATGTTTTTCGTTTCCCAAGATTTGTTAAATTTCCAACGCATGGTTGTATCCCTATATAGAGCGGAAAAAATGTTAATGTACTATAAAACTGAAATAACTTTGCAAGTCACCGACACGTACAATAAAACAGTATGTTAACGTGGTAACAAAAATATAAAAGTCCACAGGAAACATGTATCCCTTGTTTTACAAACAATTCCCTCACCGAGTGCTAAATATTTGCCTGTATTTGACCTACTGCACTCGATACTAGCACTGCACCACAACATTGCTGAGGCTGTTCCCTGATTTGTTCGCAAATATTTCGACTACGATTATTACAACGATTGTTTTTAATTGATTGATCGTTGTTTTCTTAATGTCGTGTTACAAACATTTTAAGAATTTTCAGTATCAGAACAAATTGACGTTGTATATTCGAATTTTCGTATTACTAACCACAATCCGTCTTCTTTGTCTCGATTGTGACATTACCGAATAAGACTCATCACCGATGAGTTCTTGCAAAGGAAAGATGTAGAGAATGATCTGCTTACCCTTCCGGAGCACATTAGATCATTTGTTTTTGGTGGGGTTTGTGTTTCTCAGCCTTTAGTTTGTTATGTAGAGTAGTGTTTTTTGGACGTTTCTCTTTGACTTATGGGTTTTGAATGTCCCCATGGTATCTCCCGCTTCTTGTTTTTACAATAAAAATAATAACCCAATAGATAGGTTTTGCGTCATGGTCCAATTGGGGTGATTGGCGGGAAGTAAAACTGTCACTGGGACGGACTGCTGCTGCTAAAAATTCACCATATCCTTTATTTTTTTCTAATTGATAAATACTTAAGTTCGATATATATAACTTAATATGAATATTAATAAACCCGAAACAAAAGCACAAGCTTAATTAAAATAAAAGGTGCAAGGTTACTTTCAAAGAAAAATAAGCTTTCTTACCTGTAAATCGTTTTAGTATAAAAAACAAAAGTATGCGGATGTACCGATTTCCCATAAACACAGAGCGACATTGAACTTAAAATAACGTTACCTGTGCAGACGTCTTCAATTGTCAATTTATTGTCACACACCAGTTGCCATACAAACTATTAAAACGTACATTTATTTGGTATTCAAATTCGGTCAATACTAAATAAACAACGCCTTCTGACGATTTTGAACCTAATTTGTATGTTCAAAGGAAAGCCTTATTTTATTTTCTGACTCGGAGTCTTACCTTCAGTTTTACTCCTGGATACCGCGTGCTTTTCAGAGAGCATAAAATACTGAGTTTAAAGTATTTGGTCTGATCATCCAGTCGTGAATCGAAACCGCAACCTCCCGCACTTAAGGCAAACCACGAGAACACCAAGGCGATTCAAAGAGGAGAATGTTATAATTTGGTTAATTAAGTCGGACAACATTTGTGCTTTTATATCATTTACAATCTCAAGGTTCAGGGTTTGACAAGTTTTTGAAATACATTATAATGAATTTGTTCACGTTTTGAATGTGCATGAATAATTCATTGCTGGCCGGTATGAAACAACAAACCCTGAATAAGCTATTTTCATAATACCACTTCTCAAGAAGGAGCAACCGAAAGAAGTAAAATAAAACATATGATCGGTGCATTTTGGGGGGAAAGTATACTGTTTTCCGATGACTTTGCCGTGTATTGAAAACATAAAACAGTAAATTTTCCCCTTAAATTTTACCGATCGTAAGCTTGATTTTTCTTTTTTATGTTGCTCTTACTTGACCGAGTACCAGGATGTCCTACCGCGAATCGATATAGAAGGTAAACATGTCGAAAATAATTTAACTCCGGAGTCAAAAGTCGTTAATATGAAAGTAGTCTATTACAGTAATTCAGTGGTTGTCGTTGGTTGCTGTCTGTCATACGTGTTTTTCATACATTGATTTTTTATAAATGAGGTTGGTTTACTGTTTGAATTGTTTCACATTTTGTCATGGTAGAGCTTTTTATAGTTGACTATTCTGTATAGATTTCGCTCATTGTTGAAGCCATGCTTTATTTATAAGTTGTTGGAATCTTTGAACTAGGCTAAGCTCTCAGTTACTACGAGTACTCCTACATCGGTGCTTTGTCTTTTTGCTTTGTTCGTTGTTTTTTTTTTTTTTTTTGCTTTGTGCAAATGAGTGAAGCCATTTTCAACTGATTTCGTTATTATGTTGTGTTGTTACGTCATTGTCTCAGGTAGGGGAAGAGTTGAGTGTTCACAAACATGTTTAACCCTGTCACATTGTTTATGTGCCTGTCCAAAGTCAAGGGCTGGTAGTTCAGTAGTCTGTTATATATGTTTTTGTTTTTTTTTGTAAATTGTATTGTATAAATTAGGCCGTTAGTTTTCTCGTTTGAACTATTTCACATGTTTCATGTCGTGGCCTTTCATAGCTGACTATCTGGTATGTGGTTTTCTCGTTGTTGACTGCAGTACGATGACATATAATTGCTTTTATACTCGTCATTTGAACTCTGGATAGTTGTCATATTGGCAATCATACCACTTCTCCTTTTTTATATTATATAGACCTTTAAACCATGGGTAGGCGCTATATTTTGACAAAATGTAGTATTATATCTCGCTGCGTAAAGTTCCCGTGTTATAATATCAAAATAATCAACATCGGAATGCCATACAGAATAACTAATTGTTACATGTAATTAGATGCATACAGACCTTCTAAAATTCAAACTGACCATTATTCCGTGCGTTCATCGTGTATCGTGCGTGTTGCGTACGTGTATCGTGCGTGTATCGTGCGTGTACCAATCGTGCGCTCATCATTCATCGTTCCGTGTATTTTCCGTGTAACGTGCGTGCATCGTGTATTCTTAATCGTGTATGGTGCGTGTATCGTGCGTGTATCGTGCGTTCATCAATCATTCATTTTTAACCGTGTATCGTGCGTTCGTCAATCGTGTATAACTGTGTACATCAGATAACGTGCATTTGTCAAACGTTCATCTCTAATCGGGTAACATTCATTCATTGCGGTTTTTATATGAAAGTCGGTTATAGAGTTCATCACAGCTTATGTTTTATCTCACGGTTAAAGTGTATATATATGTTCCGACTTTAAATAAAATTTACATTCATACTTACTTTCTTGTGAACACTTAATTAACTTCATCGTACATAACGTTCATACAGATTCATGAATTTTTGTGTAAAATTTATTTATCATCTGTAAACATTTCGTGGTTATTCAGTGAATCTTGGCTGGGACTGACACATTTTAATATAATGATACATGTTCTACGTACAAACAATAACATGATAACATTTCTACGACAGTACAGTTAAAATTGGAATTTCTATTCAACTGAGCGAAATGGGCTTAAAAATATACTGTTGGCCAACTGTTATTTGTTAAAAAATATTCCGCCAATTAAATACAACGGTGCTTTTGCAAAATTTAGATGTGGGGTAGCTCCACTAAAAATAGAAACTGGAAAGTATGAAAGAAAAGAAGTCCACGAGATGACATGTGTTGTAGTTCTACTATTGAAGATGAACTTCATGTCATTTTAAAATGCCCATTATATGTAGATTTAAGACAAATTATGATACATTAAGCTAAACATTTTAATGAACATTTTAAACTTTAATTATCAGATAGCGAAAAATTTATATTTTTTTTTAATAACGGCAATGTTGCTGCTATAGTTGCCAAAAACATCAACAATATTTCATTGAAAAGAAACGTCATTTTATTTCCTAGTTCTCAAAGAAAAAATGTATTATTTTCATATACAGACCTTCTAAATTTCAAACTGACCACACGCACGATACACGCACGCACGATACACGCACGGTGAATGCACGATACACGCACGGTGAATGCACGATACACGATACACGCACGATGAGCGATGAGCGTTACACGGAGGATTAACGAAAAATGAATGATGAATGATGAACGCACGATACACGCACGATGCACGATGAATGATGAACACACGATACACGCACGATACACGCACGGTGAATGATTCATTGACGAATGAACGATAAGCGCTTAATACACGGTTCTCAAAGCCATTTTATTTGGAATTGCATTTAAAATTGATGTATGATAATGAAAATCTATAAGGGTATACAAATTTTAGATATCTCGCTTTCTGTGTTGATTGGTGGACAGTTTTACTAAACACTCCATGTATTAAATAAATTAATTGTAGTATAGTATTTCCAATATCAATGAGTGTTGTCAAATTATAAAACTCATCGATTTTATAATTCTACTTAAAATAAATAATAATTATTTATAAATTGCTACGTTTTAAAGAGTGGCGATTCCAGCCATTTTTAAAAAGAGGGTTCTCAACCCAGGATAAAAGGGGTGGTTTTAACCATATGTCCCCATTCAAATGCATTGACCCCCCCCCCTTATTTTTATCTGCCTAAATTTGTAACCTTAACTAATTAATTATCATATGTTTACGTTCCGAAATTAAGGAAATGTTTGTATGTTTCGAAGTTTAGTATGATGTCCATTATCACTGAACTAAAATTCATTTTTGTTTAGGGACCAGCTGAAAAACGCCTTCGGTGCGGGATTTTCTACCCATTGGTGGCCTTCGACTGTTTTCTGCCTGTACGTCTAAACACTGCTAAGGACTTATAATATGCCACTAAGGACTAGAAAGGACGTGTAACTTGTACTCTGTTTTCATACTATGGTAGAGATAGATAGATTTTTATTACATAAATTCCAATTTTTAAAGAAAAAGAATCACCATTAAATGAGTAGTTGAACAATAATTGGAACGTGCCGGTTTTTCCTTGATATTGCCGAAAATCAGTGATCCGACTGACACGAGCGAACTTACATAACAACTGATTAAACAATCATAATCTCTTTTTTCTTACTTAAGTTACAATGTTCCTTATACTATCAGAATCGTATGAGTTAATTTAGAGCAAAATATATAATTTGTCAGAAAAATCTGATTCGTACAAATTAATTAGAAAAAGCTAAGAAAATGAAATTTACCAAATAATGAGAAAATTTAAACATTTGTAATACCAAATACTTCATAATATACTTCTGAAACGACTTTTCGTCCTGAATATGCATGAAATTTTTGCCACTGGACGTTTAAACAACCACTGAATAATCAATCAATCAAATTTTGCTCTCAGTAAAAATGAATTAAACAATATAAGCCACAATTGTATCCATCACTTGGTGTCTGTTGTTTGTTTGTACAGTAAACATACTGAATCTTTTTATATTCCTTATACAATTTCAAGTATGTAATAAAATTCATACATATTTTCAAACATCCTGGCACTTCAAATTTCTAGGAGGTGAGATTCTCGGGGTTTTACCTGAAACTCTTTGGGAAATGCAATTTTTAATTCCAATTCCAATTCCAAACTGTAAAAGATATCCCAAGGTTTTTTAAAATGCATTTCTAATTTGATAAGGAGATTTGAAAAAAAAACGATCTCAATGGTAGTTGAAATTATTCAGTGCAATCATTTTGTGTCCGCCGTTGTCTTTCATACATATCAATTGGTGTATCCACTGTTTGCTGTTCGTTATCTGTTGTTTATGGCAGTCAGGCCTCGCGATCGGTCTCCAAATTTAAGCCCCCACTTAGGTAAATTAATGATCATTTATAGGGAGGGGGGGGGGCTTTTTTCTCGGGACAAACATTATTTTCCTTCCTTAAGAATAACTTAACAATTTTCTATATTTTTCATTTAATCATAAACCGATGAATATTAAATGATTTTTAAAAAATTCAAAAAAATATTTTTATTCTAATATATCTAAATATCTGGGTTATTTTCTTTTCCAAATAATTATTTTTTCATTTTTTTAAGGAAAAAGTGTTATCAGTTATGGCCCCCTCATTTTAGACATGACATTTTGCTTGATACTGTATGAAGATTATTCTTTGCAACTTTTATGAAGAAATAACCGCCTTTTTTTTTAACTAGATAAATATACAACAAAAATACCGTTTTTTCTTCTTGTATCAATTTCTTTTCAC